AAATTGTATAAAATTTTGTGGGGTTGACGCACCGAAGAAATAAAAGATGCTCTTCCATCCGAATGCTTCCGACAAGTAGGCACTGAGCGGCATGGCAACCACATTCCCCACATAACTTCCCGAATAGGCTATCATCGTTATCCGGTTTCTTTCCAATGGTGGAGTCCATCTGGCCCATATTGCGTGTAGACTTGGATAGGTGACTCCCTATGAAGACGAATTATGTAAACTGCAGCTACACTGACAAAGCATTTTAAGCAATTCAGCTTCTTTTGATGCTGAACTGAATAATATTAAGCTTTGCACCTGGCGTTCTTTGCAAGCAAATTCACGGTTGACTGCGCCCAACTGTATTGAAGAGCTGGTATATAAGCATAATTATTTAAGCAATTTATTGAGTTAACCCAAATGTTGTGTAATATTAAACGAAATCAAGATAATGGAATGTCTTTTAGTTTCAACGGATGATATCAATGCTGAACTTGGATTTAAGAAAAGCGTAAGAAGAACTGTCGTCAATTACATAAATAACATAAATACAAAAATTGTTTACTTCTACATCGTCTTTCACTATACCTATTTTTAACGGTTTTATTATTATTTAGCATTTTCTATCAAAATTCAATCAAATCCCAAAGTTAAATCTATTTGACAATGAAAGTCCCCATTCAGGTCACCCGATTTGTAGCCCTTGGATTTTTCAATCTATGGACTGGTAAAAACTAGATGTGGGATGTCAAACGACTGATCAGGTCAATTATGCAAAAATATTAGTCAGACTTTATTCCTTGCTTGAACCAAACCCATATACAAGCAATTATCATTGTACTGATTTCGTTTTCATTTGGATGTCTTGTTTCTTGTGTTTCAAGTTTTTGAACTCTTTCATTGATAATTACGCTCTAAAAAAAATTCGTATTTGTATTTTTTTAAACAACCGAACTTTGCTCCCTTTTCTTTCTAAACAACGTTTTCCCAGAACATTTAACGAACAAGATCTAGGCATATTTTGAGAAAATGCTGTGGTAAAATTCAAACTTATTGAGGATCTGTCAGCAGCCATGTTGGTTGTTGAATGAGGCAGGGTCATTGGTTAAAAACGAGATTTTAAATCTCACTCATGCGCATGTTAAATAAACGCTTACTTATACCTACAAGCAATTTGAAGCTTAGAAAAATTTGCGTATGACCAGAGATAATAAGCTGTATTCGATTTATTTATAACTGTATTTCATGTATTCTTTGTGCAGACTAAAGTTAACACTGAGATAGGTAGCGGTAAATAATGCTTATACAAATGTCGTTTACTACACATTGACATAAATGTATAGGTAAATTTCGAATTTTGCGAAATAGTTTTCGTATACCCGGTATACTTCCGGTATATAGTTCCAGAACAAGGATTGACGCTCAGATATGCCTTGAATTTTCCAACGAAATTGCCTCGTATATCTAGAACCAAGAATGGATTTATGCTGTGGGCTATTTGTTTTCCAGCCTTTTGTCGCAGGACAATATTTAACTTTGGTTCCCAAGAATCCGTACAGTTATATATGCAGATAAGTTTTTCAATTCAAATTTTCGTACTAGCGCAACAATTTATACTGAACGTTTGATTTTCTTTTAACATAGGTTTCCATCTTTTTGTATCGATATCGTTCGAAATGCAATTTCATTTTCAGCATAAATAGCTTTGTGTTTGGGGGTACATAGTCGATGAAAGATCGCCTGACTGACATAAAAATTTTGTATTTAATTGCATAAGACCCAGAAATATTTTAGAAAAATGATTTCCTTTGACATTGGTATTGGTATTTCGTTCTTGGTACCGCTACCACCCATACTGGAAATGTTCTCAATATACTGTAAACTAACCATATGTAATCCTAAGAAACTAATTTTGACCTTTTCTTTTTAAAAATTAAAATTAATGTGCTAGGAGGTTCGTACCAAAACATATTCATTTGCTTTTTTTAAGTCTATTCTTCGTACACTTCTAAGATAACTTAATAATGTTGGTAACTTGATGACATTATGCATCTTTAACTCATTTTTCCTATCATAAACCTTTAATACTTCAAAATTAAGTCAAATTGAAAAATATGATGTCATGTTGATTCAGTTTTCCAAGACGAGTGATGCAATGAAATTAAATACATATTCATGGTGCTGGTTTTATGGTTAAAAATAATTCCACTTTTCCAGACAAGATTTGCATCTTAAGACATTTTATATTTTTCAACTTTTATCCACAGAACACATTGGGGTTCGGATACTTACCTATTAAACTGACAATATTTATTATATTAAAGGATATTGATAGTTTATGTTAAACTTATTTATTTGTTTATCTATTTTAGCAGCTGCAAGAAGTCACATCCTATGTAATTCTACTGAAGCTATTGTAAACATACCTCGAATATTCCTTCGCTAATTCTTACAATCAAAAGCAAGTAAACGCTGTAGGCTGCCGCCATCGGTGTGAACAATGACAGCAGGGCAGTCGCTGCGATTCCGGTCCCAAAAACTATTTTCCCACCGAATTTGGCGCCAATGTAGCCGCCAATAAGTTGGGTGGTTATGTAGCCATAGAAAAATGAACTAAGAACGTATCCTTTGATTTCACTCCCCCAATCAAATTCTGGCCCCTAAGCAATTCACAAAAAAATTAACTTGGAATCGAGTTCGAGACCGCATCTTACCAGATTTTGTTCTGTGCCGTTTTCCAATGTAATGTATCGGTCCTGAATCATAGCCACTATGGCAATGCTTAAGTTAGCTCTAAGTGAATATACATTAAAGAAACCGAAGAAAGCCAAAATTGCCAGTACGTATCGCCTCTTCTGCCAAAACTTCCAGGTTTCGTGCCTTCGGAATTCACTAGCAAAAATTATGCAATTATGGTCTGTTTCTAAATGGTGCGGAGTAATAAAACAAGGGACTCCGTTGAGTAGGACCACTATTTCAGATAGGTAACGACCATGATAAATACTTCCAGTTACGTATTCTTTAGTATGTGGTGAACATTTATAGAGTCAGCAATAATTAAGATATAATAAGAACGATGACTATACAATGGATATTCTTTCCAATAAAAAGAATCTGTAATAATTATCCCTTATCAGTGAACAACCAGACATTGTCAATAATAAAAGATAACTACTGACATTGAAAACACTACTGTACAGAACAAGAAATACAGGTCAAAATAAGTTCACGAAGATCAGCAACTCATTGATGTGGACTCAAAATATGCGATTCGAGAAAAAGTTCTATTTTTCCCTTTAAAAAGAAAATACATACCCTAGACGGAATGTTGATGGAGCTTGTAGTACAACAGGATTGTACAATCAGTAGAAAACTACTATGGAGAACCTTGTAGGGTATGAATTTTGCCTAGGAAAAGCGTAACCGTTAAATCATTTTACTTGAAAGCGATGAAGTATATATGAAGTATACAAATTATAAAACAGAACCGCATAAAGCAGAATAATATTTTATATCTTGGTGACTTGTGGATTAATGAAGCTTATGTGGAATGTGCAATCACAAAAATAGTTGTAATTTTCATGCTCTGATGGATGGTTGGTCGAATAATATTAAAAGATCATCGGAAAAAAGGTCTTGGAAGCGGAGCCGGATTTCTAAAGAAACAACGAACATGGATTACTTCTCTCGAACTGGAAATTATCACGACAACATGGAAGTCCATGTTTTCAAATATTACCCTAGAGAAATGGCGACATATCTTTCAACTTGACTCAGCAGTGGTCATGGATAATAATAATAATAAGAAGAATGTTTGAATAAAATACAACTATTAGTTATGTAGAACTTTGTCAACCCAAAATCAATTCTAAATAGAAAAACACATTTTTTGATTGGCTTTTGATAGGCAGAGCCAATCAATGTAGAATTAATTTGTGCATTACACAATACATTAATCTACAGGATATCGCATTTAAATAAAGACTGTTTTACAGTTTTGAAAATAATGTTATAAGTTGGTAAATTTTGGACACTTTATAATAAATCAATCAACTCTCAATATCAATTTCGAAAAGAAGATTCTTGTGTTTTGGTTTATTATGCAGACGATTACTACGAGTCAAAAAATAGTGTAAGAAAGTAGTTTTTCATTAATATTGGAATAACCAAGTTATCAAATAAACTGTTGGGATTAAATACACGTAAACCTCTAGGAACCTACTAGGAAATTGTCTCATAAATGCAAAAATTAATTGACATATAGGATGTTGCACTTAAAATATGGAAGTGAGGTACTGTGAAATATGAGAAGCCCTGTATAATAGCAACTATTTTTATTGCACGCGCCACATTCAAACCAATAAGTTTTGTATTTAATTTTTGTTATAATTACACTGTATGTACCTAAGATTTTAATGATCCATAAAATAATAAATTTAATGTAATACATTTTACATTATATATATATATATATATATATATATATATATATATATATATATATATATATATATATATATATATATATATATATATATATATATATATATATATATATATATATATATATATATATATATATATGTACACAGGCGTCTCTGTTTTGACGAGCATTATTTTTATCTAAATTTTTATAAATCAAAATTATTTTGACATAAACTGAGGAAGCTGCTACTTATTTGCTTACTTACTTAACTTTGTTGTTCTCTGAAGCATTTTCTCTATTAACGTGGTTAGTTTGAACAACCATCCTCGTGTGTAAAACACTTGTGATATAATGTACCTACATGATTTTCGGTAAAAACTACCTAATCTACCAAATGATTTAAAGGATTACAAACTCAAAGATAATTCGAAACCTAACGTGTCTACCCATTCAACGATGTGACCTGATATCAAATCTGACAATAAAAAGAATTATTTCAGAGATTTATCGTAGACACTTTATTACTTAGACTGTAGTTGATACATATAGGGTGTCACAGGCAAATGTTTACACTTTGTAATTGTAGGAGGTGCTCGCGCCAGGAGAAGGTAATGTTCTTCTAAACAAGCACTACGCCATTGTTCTAAACACCGGGTCAGAAAGTTCAGGAGATCCCGCTTCTGACATTAAGAAAACGTCGGAAATGAAACATTTGCGGAACATGTCCTCTGGAAGGGGTACTACAAACAGCAGCAGAGGTGAGTGTGGGTGTTCACTATCTCGCATGCACGTTATTAATAGGTAAATGGGAAATGTAATTCACAAAACTAAATTATTATGGTCTTCACTTTTGAAATAACGGTTTATTTGCAATTTTCCATGGTTACAACATTGTATTCTGTTTGATGGGCAATATTGAATATAATGTGTTAAATTCTGGTGCTAAAAGATGTAAGTATGATATACTGGGTTTAAAGTTTCAAATTTTCCAGATCGAGGCGTTTCGTTCATAATTTTATAATAATGTATGCCACATTACTCGCAAGTTCATTAGTTGTAACAAGTACGTTAATCAGAAAATAGTAAAATAATTGCGCTAGAGATGACGAAGGCTTCATTTAAATTCGTTTTATAAATCAGGTTTAAGCTACATAATTTGCAGGACGGAGTATATATGCTTACGTATGTTTATAATATTTTGTAGGTTGATTGCCTGCTTGAAGTGTCCCTGTCAGTTTACAAATAACCAAACTGTGTTGCCACTTTTTTACGAAATACCTGTTATAATTGAAAACATTAGATAAATGTTTCCTTATTCAATTTTTTGCAACAGCCTTTAAAACCATTTTTCGAAGCTGCGCCAATTAAGGTAGATATTACAGATGGAAATAAGTATTCATAACCTCTTACCTCAGAAACTAAAAACGCTAAAAAAAAAGTGAAATAGATTTTTTTATCTTTTTTTTTTTAATTATATCTTTATTTTTCACATATGTGCGTGTTGTTCCATTCATTTAACATTTTTCTATAGTCATAATGCTATAATACGCCTGTTAGGATTTGTCACTTGTTGGTCATGATGTGCTGTGGGGTTAGAAACTTGTAACACTGAAGGAGTCATGGGAACGTTTACGTTAATTTTTTGATTTTATTTATTTATTTTTGAATTTGTAATGTTATAGTTACAGATTATGTAAATATTTATAAACTTCCTTATATTGTGGATTTTTGTCTTTAATATTCTGTTGAGGTTAAAGCAATATTTATTTATTTTTGTTTTTAATATAAGGATTATTACTTAAATTACTTAAATCAATGACAGAAAACTTATGTCAAACTGACATGTAAATTTAGAAGTAATTTTATTCATATTAGATAAATTTAGATCAAAATAAATTGTACCCAAATGTTGTTTTGAAATTGCTTGCTGTTAATGTTTTGAATTCAAAAACTATAATAATAATTATGATTATGAATGCAAGTTATAGTTTTAAAAAATGTCTACTTTTTCAACTAAAGGAAAAATAAGTGAGTGCTTGTAAAGCAAAAATTAAAATAGATATACTAAAAAAACTGTTGCAAGCGCTGTTAAAAAATTTGTATGTTTCAAGGGTGCCGCCCAAAGATCACATGTACAGTACAATATCTTATCTTATTCGGTAAAAGTTAATTTAAAAAAAAGGTTTCCTTTTTCTCAACGTATTTCTTGATCGTTAGAAATAATGGAACAAGAAGACAACGTTCCTGGTCCCTTGATTCGACCAAGCGAAAATTGTATTCTTTCAGAAACTGACAATAGCGAAATGGTGGATACGAAGACCAAATTTCTCTCGTCTACAGAGTCTGAGCCGAAACCAGAAACGACGTTGACCAGCCAAAAAGAAAAATGCGAGGTCACGAACGCGAAACCATGGCAAACATTGGTTTCGTACGTTGACGAATTAACGTTGGGTGGCAGGAGAAACTCCAAAGGGCAATTCGTGGACGGCCTTCAAGGCAGCTTTCCCGGATTCGGAAAGCGGAAAGCACCGAAGGTTCCACCAAATTGTTTCCCTCGGCATTTCTATCAAAAGTATGACGAGATCTGGTGTGCGTTGATCCTTGCTCATTGATTTATGCCGTTTAGGTGTCCTTGTATTGATAGATGCTCCAAGTCCAAATTCGGAACCAAATGGATGAACTTTCGGAGCCTTGTAGTGGGCATCGTCGATACATCAGCATTCGAGTGGTTCATTTTGGTGCTGATATTCGCGTCTAGCGTGACGCTGTGCTTCGAGGATATTCATTTAGATGAAAGTCCCGATTTGAAAATGGTCCTCTACTGGACTAACTTGGCCTTTTCAGTAATTTTTATTATAGAAATGTTTTTCAAGTGGATCGCGTTAGGATTCTATAAGTACTTTACCAGTTTTTGGACGTTGTTGGATTTTTTAATCGTTTTCGTATGTATAACGGAGAGTCCTTAATTAGATACTTGTCGGCATATTGAATTTCTTTAAGGTGTCGTTATTTAGTCTACTAATAGAAGAAAATGAAAATCTACGGGTCCTCCGTTCGCTGAGAACCTTAAGAGCCTTAAGACCTTTAAGAGCAATAAGTCGATGGCAAGGCATGAGGATAGTGGTGAATGCCCTCATGTACGCTATACCGAGTATCTTCAATGTGTTATTAGTTTGTTTGGTGTTTTGGTTGATATTCTCCATTATGGGTGTCCAGTTCTTTAGTGGGAAATTTTATAAATGCGTTGACGAGGAAGGTGAACGGTTAGATGTAGAAGTGAGTAATTTCGCTGACTTGTTATTTCGATAGGATTAGTATACTGTAAAAAGTCCATCAAGAGTCGATTTTAATAAATTAATATAGAGGATTAAAAATTCTGTTTAGGAATTGACTTGATATTTCTTATCCATTTTTAAAATAACCAAATTAATACTGGTTCCTGGACAGTTCGAGGGTTCTCTCTCTCTCTCTCTCTCTCTCTCTCTCTCTCTCTCTCTAATAAATATTTTTAAAAAATCAAATTCATTGATTTTCCCTATTTTCCCATTTTTAGTATATAATAAAATAATAAAGATCAATTAACGTATTTGTGAAAATGAAATATTTAGAGAATTGTAGATATAGATTTAATAGTTTAGGTATTATGACTGTCCACGCAGTGTGTTGAAAACATATTTTAGAACCAGCTACCAAGTATCATTTTTGTGACAGGCACCCAAATTTGGTTTTCGTGGTTCACTCGATTTCCCATTTCACTTTCACTTTGACATTGGATAATACATTTAATGTTCTTTTAATACAAAAACATTCGAATGGCACTGAAGATTTTGAAGACATATTTGGGTGTTTTTCATACAACTGCGGTGAAGTTTGGAAAACCTCGGAGATATTTTTTTCCAAAACGGAATTTCAATGTACAGTTGTTTAAATAAGTATTTGGTATCAACTCGTTGCTAATTTTTTTTACGTTGTGTTTTCTGGTAATTTTCAAACATAATCATCGTTATGGTTAAAGGAAGTTCTCCTTGTTAAAAAATGTGTGCTAACAAATTTTTTGTGTGAAATCTTTGCGATAGGCACAACAAAGTCTGTTTCAGATTGTAAATACAAAATGGGACTGTGATAGATTAAATTATACGTGGATTAATTCCAAAATTTCGTTTGACCACGTAGGTATAGCTTACCTCGCTTTATTTCAAGTGGTAAGTACAGCACAATACGTGCAAACTGCATCGGCTGTATCTGCGTCCACCGTTTCAGGCCACCTTCGAGGGATGGATGGAAATAATGGCAGACGCGGTGGATGCTCGCGGCGTGAACATGCAACCCAAAAGGGAGGCCAACTTGTACGCCTATATTTATTTTGTAATATTCATAGTCTGCGGCTCGTTCTTCACCCTGAACTTGTTTATAGGGGTGATCATAGATAATTTTAACATGTTAAAAAAGAAGGTGAGCTTCAATTATCATTCTGTAAGTCCGAGCAGCACATGGCTTTACAATCAAGTGATATCCTAATATTTACCGAGGCAGATATGTTTATTTAATGCGAATTAAATACTTCTACACGTTTAATAGGACTACTAAAAAGTAATTCATCGGAAACCCCTAATGATGGCATCTATACCAAAACCTAGAAAAATAATGCAATTATATACTATTTAATATCAAAAGTAATGCCAAAACAGTTTTTAAAGAAGGGGCCACGTCGCGTCTCTGTGGGACCACGTTTTCAGAACAATCTTACATCTGGTTTTCAATAAATGTCTATTTTGCCATGTGAATTATCCTGTTCATGTTGTAACTTAACTCATAATCTCATAATATTCGCATTTATTGCAGAACATGTTGCAAAAACAATATGTTTTTTAAGAAAAATCATAATTTTGCCAAGGTAAATTTTGTTGCAAAATCAGATAACAATTATTGATTGGACGTTTCTTTTGAAATTTACTGAAGTGAGTAAATTCCACAGAATTGTTTCCACACTGTTGTATCAAAACGGACATAGATATCCCAAGTGGTACACAAATGAAATTATAAGTATTATAGATAGGAATGGTAGACAGCTGTAAACTCAAAGAAAAGAGTAAATGTAATATATAGGGATATTTCAAAAGCCTACGGGTTGAATAAATCGTAACATATTACTAAAGCAATTTGGTAGTTTTGGAATTACTTCGGATCTTGTAAATTTATTTGTATCTTACCTTCAACAGCATGAAAATTTTGTGGTTTTTAAAAGTCTGGTGTTTTTTGATCCACAAGAACATTTTTCCTAAGGGTCTCCGTTCAATAGCTCATTATATTTTGGGTTTCCTAGCGGACTGTATTTATTCCTTTCTTTTGTATAGTGATTTTTTGAAATGGACTACTTATTGGCTACAATACCATTTATATGTTACTGCTGCCACTGTTTTTCCTAGAGAGTTATGCGAAAAATGGCGACTACAATCAGGTTCTGATATCTCAGTATATCGACTCATCGTATAGCGATAGATATGGAGCTCAAAAATTTGTCATCAGCAATGAACCACACGAAAAAGTTAAAATTGAAAGAGTTGTGGAAAATGAATTGTGGTTGTGAAATATGCATCTTGCAGCTGGGATAATAAAAGTATTGTTCCCTAATAACAGAAATCCCTATTATAAATAACTATAATCAATGAATACTACACGCTAAGGAAATCTTAAATCGTGAAGAAAGATCGTCATTAAAAATAAATTACAGCACAATGCTGCTAAACTTAAAATGCTTGCTTACTTAAGAAACGAAAACAATTTTTCCCATACCTACTGAGTTGGTGAAGTACAAACACTGTGTAGGCTCTATCTGAGATCTAGAATCCCTTTTATGAGAGTCAAGTGGTAAGTGTTTCTTGAGTATTTAAAAAGTAATATGCTTATCCATAACAGAACCTTAAACAAACATTTCAGTAATAAGAGGTAGTTTTGGAACATAGTTTACCTAACATGTTGGTGTTTCTCAATATATAGTTTGTCCTATTCCGAATAATTTGGCTCTGTAATTTAAAAATTAATAATAAGCTTATAATTAATTTTTCGAAAAATTTATTCTCGTGGAACAAAGGTGCTGCTCGGGCTATGAATTTAAATCAATTCATTAAATATGTGTTTATTTAGTACGAAGGAGGGGTATTAGAGATGTTTCTCACCGAAAGCCAGAAGCATTATTATACAGCGATGAAAAAGCTGGGCAGGAAAAAACCCCAGAAAGTGATCAAACGACCAATGAACCGATTTTTAGCGATGTTTTACGACTTATCGAATTCAAGGCGCTTCGAAATAGCAATATTCGTTTTAATTTTTCTAAACATGCTCACGATGGGCATTGAGCATTACGGGCAACCGCATGCTATATTTTTTGTGTTAGAAGTTAGCAATGCTTTTTTTACGACCGTTTTCGGCTTAGGTAAGGCACAAGTCCGCATAGCGTCTGTCATTGCTGAAGCTGGTATTAATATTGTTTCAGAGGCCATTGTTAAAATTATAGGATTAAGGTACCATTACTTCACAGTGCCATGGAACGTGTTCGATTTTTTGTTGGTATTGGCTTCGATACTCGGAATTCTCATGGAAGATATCATGATCGATTTTCCGGTATCTCCTACCCTGCTGAGGGTTGTCAGGGTGTTTAGGATAGGACGAATTCTTCGACTGATTAAAGTAAGTAGACAATTATTTGATTCCAAAATTTGAATCCAGATCTGAGTATTGCAAAAATTATATAGTGAAAATACCTTCGGCCGTTAGCGAAATTAAGTTAAAAAATTAAATCATTTTTTATGTTGATTTTATTTTGATTTTGGTGTTCCAGTTTTCTTCACCATCATCAACTTTATTTTATATGGTCGCCATATTGGATTTTTGATTTTTTAAACTAAGCATCTTTCCTTAGATCCAATAGCGAAACGTCGTTCGTTTTGCCCCAAATAGACTAAATTTTGAGTGGTAAGATATAAAAACCTATGACAAAGTCTGGGACAGATAATAAAAACCAAGACTTCCTAAGGTCCCTGTACTAACAGCTGACATTTTAGTTAGTGAGTTATTAGTCTCTTTCAAAAATATATGCTGGGCATTTTTAGTTAGGAGTTGTCCATGTTTTTTAACCTTTTGAGTAACACTTTTTGAAACTCGCTGACTTTATGAATTATCCGACTTTCCATAAACAGTTAGGAAGGGTACAAATATAATTCTTTGAATGAATATATCAAATTAAAAGCATCATTCAGCATGACGTTTCGGTTTAAAAATGGCTAAAATTAATAAAAAGTACGAAAAAATTTTGATGGAAGGCACGAGTTTGTTTCGGTAAGAGCGAAGGACAGCGGAGCACAGCAGAGCGAATGCTAAGTAAAATCTACCGAAAATATTCAATCACTTCCTAACCAGCGTACCTAAAGTAATTTCGTTTTTTAGGGTAAATAATAAAAAAAATGAAAATAGAAAAAAAAAACACTGTTAAAAATATCAAAAATCGCTCGTATTCATACTTTACTTTTAATACATAGATAGAACTCAGCAATGTGGTCAAAATGCGAAAAAAAGTTTCGTTTCTTGTCAAACAAATGTAGTGTTTGGTTTCCCACACTGTACAATGAATCCTTCCAAATTTTAAAAACTTTAATAACAAAATGAGCGTCCATAAGCCGAAATTCATGTCCACATATCTTTTTTCGTTTTGCAGATAAAGATTTTTGAAAACACGTAACTGTTTTTGTTTGTTCCGCAGTTTAATTTCATACCCATGGAAATCTTATAGACGCAATAAATGAATAAACTCAATCAAAAAGAAACCTATGAAAAATAATACATAGAAAAAACATGATTTTTGATTTCCTGCACCCCGTGTAGCGCGTCTTATGCAAAACAACCAAATTAATTATATCTGATAATCCATCCGCCCATATTCTTTTTCAAGAAACCACTTTCAAGTAAAAATACGTGAACGTAGCTTGTTTTTTGGTTACATTCGAGCCCCTATAAATTAAAATACACCCCGGTTCTTCGGCTTGGAAGGTGACAATCTTTGACAATACATTTCTTCTTTGATTTAAATAGTATGGGAGTATTACTATTACCAAACAAGGTTTAATTAGCGGCATATTTGGACCGATGACCTCCAAAGCCTCGAGGTCAGAATTTCTGGAATACAAACAATCAACTAATATTGAACAAAATGAACAACATGATCAACAATTATTATTTTCGCTATTTCAATTCCTAGGAGGTTAAGACTTTAAGGATTGTGCACAATTGCGCTTAGTAATTCCAATTTTTCAATCTTTTGACGTTCTTCCCAAGAACTTTTCTGCAATTCACCACACACGCGGAAAGTGATGCTCGTCTTGATCGTTTATCAAACACTTGCCTATCGGTTTGCAATATTGACAGTGCGAGCCGATTGATTCGTCTTGGGAACTTTTATAAGCCAGTCGAAGGAGACCAACATTGGTAATTCAATTTTGTTAGTAAATAAATATCGAGAGATGGGTTATTTTATACTGATATTTGATGTTTATTTGTTTACACACCATTTCATCTGGTTATCGAGATTCTTACTATTATTTCATCTCCACTTTCTGAAATTCCGGCGATAATATCCAGATCTTTCATGACTACTCAGAAGGTCTCGTCCTGCAACGCAAGTACTTGAAAGGAGTGAATATGTTGTTTTAAAGCATTTATAGAACTCAGCTTTATCATGCCCACCATTACTTGCTTAATGCTTCTATTTGTAGGCAGCCAAGGGTATCAGAAAGCTCCTCTTCGCATTGGTAGTGTCATTGCCAGCCTTGTTTAATATCGGTGCTCTTTTGGCGTTGATCACCTTCATCTACGCTATCATAGGGATGTTTCTATTTGGCCACGTGCGTCAACAAGGTAACCCCTCACGTTATTTCACGTTCAAATAGTATTCTGTAGCTGCTTACCGTTTAGGTGCGCTCGACGACATGGTCAATTTCGAAACATTCGGTAGGTCCATGCATCTTCTTTTTCGGCTAATTACGTCCGCTGGCTGGAACGACGTTCTCGAATCCCTTATGATCGAGTACCCAGACTGCGATCCTCACTACAAGAACCAAACCAACGGGGATTGCGGCTACCCACTGTTGGCCATCATTTACTTCACCAGTTTTATTATCATCAATTATATGATCGTAATCAACATGTACATAGCAATAATTTTAGAAAACTTCAATCAGGCGCATCAGGAAGAAGAAATCGGCATTGTGGAGGACGATCTAGAAATGTTTTATATTAGATGGAGCAAGTAAGTAGCAACGAACTAATTTGAGAATCAATGCAAAAATATTTGCTTAATTCTCAGGTATGATCCACACGCTACTCAATTTATAAGATTCTCTCAGCTGTCTGACTTCATTGCGTCGTTGGATCCTCCTCTAGGTATATCCAAGCCCAACACGGTCGCTTTGGTTAGTTTTAATCTACCGATAGCGAAGGGGAACAGGATACACTGTTTAGATATTTTGCACGCACTCGTTAAACATGTTCTGGGGCACGTTGAGGAGACTGATACGTTCCGGCAGGTAAGAATTATAATATCTAGTGAAAAAACTGAGGTTTTTAAAATCGTTAAAAAATCTAAAAAGGGAGATGGAGGTTTTAAGTTTTCTATACTAGCATCTTTACAAAATAGTATAAAGTTATAGTATAAGTAATAATAAAGTAAGTCGCTTCCTCTTTACTTTTTGAATGTTTGGTAAAAAAAAAATTATAGTTTCTTATAGGGCAACCAACAGAGCAATTTATTTAAACTACAGAGTGTCTTTTGGACAAAGCGACGAAAATATTTTATGGCCATATTTACATTGCAAATAATATTATTTCACAAAAAAATTAAGCCAGTTTGCGTCGTAGCGCCACCTACAGTGTGGATATTGTTAAGATTAGCCGAAACAGTAACAAGCATTTTGTTTTGCTTCAAGAAATAAAAACAGGGGAATGGTAGGGGGGTACTCTATAGAAGGAGTGTGTACCACTTATAAATATTGTTATTTATTAAAAATTTATCAGATAAAAGTAATAATTACACGTAATTCTAATTGTAACACGTGTAAATTAAATGTCGCTCCATTACAATGAAAGTACCACCATAGAAAGGCCGTTTTCTAATCGATTTAGAAAAGTTATTTAGTCATAGACTGTGCTTCAAAATAAATGCCAAAAAGTTAAGGGTTGTTTGAAATAAATGGTAGTTTGCTACATCAACCCCTGGTCAAAAGTCAAACATTAGAGACATTGCGCGGAAAATGAAAATATATAGAACAATCAAATATTATGAAAGTATTACTATTATAAAAACACATTTTAGCACTTTTTTAAAATGAGTGAAATGGATTGACTACCCCTACCATTCTTCTTAACTAAATTTAAAGAGGAACTTACGCAACGACATGGAATAAAAATAAAGTTTAGTACACCGGTTTATTAGAAACTTTTTTGTCTCTTGCATTGTTTGCAGAATACTTACACAGTTTTCAGTTAAAAAAATAAAATATAAAGGATTGCACGCATTGCAACCAAGACACCAAAATACAAAAATAGATTTTATAGGATACGTGCACTTAGGCTTCCAAGAAACTTCCGTTTGCACGCCCGCACATAAAATATATATCTTCCACTTCTGCATTAGTGTAATTCACCATTATTGAATTAAAACCGAAATTAAAACTTTTATTAATGAACAATTAACGGATTAGATACGAAATTTTTGATTAAATTATTATTTTGAGTTCATACTAACTGAACAATGTCAAATGAAGCATAATTTATTTTGTCAGTTGAAAAAAAGGTATTCATTAACATCCAAGTTAAAATGACATATATTTCGGAAATAATTTAATTATAATTTTTTCGTCTGTTGGACGTAAATTAATTTAGCCTTTGACAATGTTATGCAAACATTTTGCTTGTTGGTTTTAAAACAATTACGTTGAAAAACAGGCACTAAATGGTTTTCGGTGTTATTTCTATTATGTCCACTACACCCCATTTTATAAAATTTAAACACAGAAAAATTAAACATAAGAGAAAAAATTACCCTTTGGCATTTTTTATTAACAGGTGCGCTGGAACTTTTGAAAAGTGCCGCTAATTTCAAAATCGAACTTGTGAGAAGTTTGATATGACTACTTAAGAACTTAAAAACTTCAAGAATTCCTAGTTTAAGTGGTGCAAATGTTTTTCTGGAATTTTTTCAATAGAATCTACGTAGGTCATATGAGGAGACAGAGGCGCAATACAATATTTCATACACAAATTAGCATTAATCTTGTTTAAAAAAAATTACCTGTCTATGTTCTAAGCTCATCCTGTTTAGCAGACAATACAGCCTCAAACATATACTGTCAAAAAACTTTAAAAAAAACTTATACTTAACGGTTTTCACCATGTCAAAATTTCAAATAATCATGTTTCAGTTGCAAGAACAGATGGACATCAAATTTAAGAAGCAATTCCCGACGCGAAAAGAACTGGAAATTGTTTCGTCTACTAGGTTATGGAAGAGGCAAGATAAGGCAGCGCGATTTATTCAAAAGACGTGGCGGGACTATCAAAAGTATGTATTCTCGATTTATTTTCGTAGGGAACGATTGGTTGAATGACGACAGTGTTGATTGTTTAAATGAAACTACTTCAGGTGTATGTAAAAGTAATTCTTGTACGGGCACGCTTCATACATAGAGTAATTTTAAAAGGACCAATAGCAGTGTGCAAAATTGCACGTACCCAAATTGTACGTATAACACATAAGTGTTCGTTGGCACTTCTAATCTGCAGCTTATGGTATTTTACATATGTAACTACTATGCAGTTTTTCGACTTATGATCACTCTGTATCATTTACTAATTAATTTAGGCGATTGTTCTAAATGAATCTAATTAATGACTTCTCATTGCTGACTAGTACCAAATATTCGCTAATTATTAAGAATTTTAAATGTGTAATATTTTTTCTTATAAATTGTTTAGAGACAATTTTAGTATTTTATACTTTTGTTGTCATTGTCTTTCGTTGTTAATAAATCGTACACTATAATATAAAGATTAGAAATGTTTAACTTTATACTTTATACGCACTCTACCCATACCCATAATGCGCAACTAAACAATCATTAGAATGACCATCACGTTTTCGCTAGGTCTAACGCAGTGAACTCGATCTAAAGTGCAATGGTAGCGGCGTGATTAAAAGGCAAATATTTCAGTAGTAAAGGGGATTTTTGCCTTTCTCTATTTTATAAAGCGATAAAATACTTACCGAAATATTATTCAATATTTCAATACTTCGTTATTCTAAAATAGTTATAAAACACCAAACCTCAAAAGGTAAAAGATATATTAAAAACCTATGCTTCTCTGCAACTAAACTTATTTGTGGATATGATTTGGACAGACAAGGAAGAAGTGTATAAATGCACAAAGACTCAACATTTGGGCGGCTCAGAGTCTTCGTTTATGCCGATCAATATTTTCACATCATTCGATAGTAGAATAATACTCTAGAAAATCCTCTCGTAATGTTTAAATTTAAAATAAGAATCCGAACGGTGTAATTTGTACAGAAATTGTCGTGTCCAATGGTAATGGTGGGTAGAGATTGAAAACTTTTAATCACTATAAAACAACAGAGCAACTAGACGTGACGAGATCACAGAAGATTTTATTAAAATAAAATTACTTTATTCTATTTGCTAGGCGGAAGAAGGAGAAGGCAGCTGAAGAAGTGGACGAAACCACTCAGACTTCCTCGCCCGGAGATTGGCGAGGCCGATTATCGGCTTTCCTTCACGTGCATCGTGGGTCCCGGGCCTCATCTCGCAAGTCCTCACGGGCCTCAGACGCTAGCGATCTCAGCGAGCTGGGTGGTCCGTGGTTAAACTTGCCCCTGCTGTTGCTCTCCAGCGCTGCCAATTTGCCCCCTGAGGACCTGGATTTGAGGCGCGAGTCCTCCGATGTCGTGAGCATCAAGGTGAGCCAGGCGACTCCGGACGCCGGCTCGCCGCCCAAAGGCGCAGTCACGCCGACGAACACGGGCTCGCGTCGCCGGAGTCTGTACAACTTTTTCCTGCGTCACCAGGACGCGATCGAGAAGCCGGATACCGTCAGTGCTGCAACTTCGCCGCTGACACCCAGAAGGGATTTTAAATTTCTGGGTGAGCGTTAAGTTAGGTTAAGTGTGTACTCAAAATGAGCTAAAAATGGCAGCCCAAAAAGTTCTAAATATTTTATTTTAAAGTTGTCGAGAACCTAAATTTTCTTACTAAAATTAAAATATTGTTATTCCATTTCTAATTATTTTTATTTAATAATTAAATATAAAAAAAATATCTTGAAATCAATTTGCAAGCTTCGCAAGAAAATATATCTGAAATGAAAAAATTTTAATAAAAAATATTAACCAGTAAGTTATATATAATATAATATATAAATTATATTGAAAAAAATATTTTTTTTATATATAGTTATATTTCTTAAGTGGCCAACCACTAAATAAACTAAACTTGTGTTCTAGTGGTAAGTAATTTTATAATAGCAATTAATTCTTAAAGTTAACATTTGTCATAAATTGACCCACCTACTTCATGCAGTATTTCTATGCAAATACACATAATAAACTGGAGCAAACCAATATAACTTTTTGCAAAACAATTGACACTAAACCGGAATTGTCATATTAACCATATACTGGGTGAGAGATAAATTCAATTAGATATGTCTAGCCGAAATTACACAAAACTGGGTATCTCACCGAAAACTTTGGTGGTGGAGAATTATATATAATTAATAAAATTTTGGAATTGTACAAACTATGGTTATACCGAAAATTGGTGACCAACTTACTTATTTTAAATGGAGTAGCCTATATACTATTTCATTTTTCAATTCCTTGAAGAATTTCATGCCAAGTGTTCAGAACCTATAGAAGCGATGAAATATCTCGACAATTCCATAACTGATGAATAAACAAAAAAATAAGAACTGTTTAATAATACCAGACGTGGCCCCCTGCTTTATCCCACTGGTCAGGGAGAGGGGGTAACTTTGAAAGCTTAATTAGAAACTCCCATTTTTATTACAGATTCGAATTCTACGCCACAAAATCGTTACGTTTTGTCCAAAGTTCTCTTTTGGATTCTCAGTATATGACGCCGTAATCGTAAAAAACGATTTATCGTATTCATCCAGAAATACCCAGTCAATACAATATAGTCAATGTTATGAATCCGATATAAGTGTAGTGCGGTTCCAACATGCTTTGTGTCCAATTTTGAACTTTACTGCGGAAAGAAACAAATTGGCAAATGCTCCAAAAGATATTGTTCTTCGATTGGTACACTGGCTCATACTTTATGACTCAGAATATTATCATTGTAGGTACACTAAAATCGAATAAGAAGGATATTCCCCTGATTTATTTCCAAATAAAAAAAGACCCGTAAACTCGCCTATTTTTGCTTTTACCAAAACATAGTTGGAATCCATTGTCTCAGACTTCTTAGCCATGAAAGCCTATTACGCCCAATCCACTTTTTTCCTTCTATTTTTCCGTTAAGGAGAAAATCATAACGAAATACTGTAATTATATGGCCTAGGTATTCAATTTTCGACGCTTGATAATATTCAGAAGTAGTGTGTCGTATCCCATTCTTCGAAGAACTTCTTCATTTGTGGTTATTGTGGTCCAGGATATTTTAAGCATTCTCCTGTATGTCCACATTTCAAATGCGTGATCTTATTAAGCATTTTTTTATTAAGCGTTCATGTTTTAAGAATCGACCATATGTAACATTTTACAAACTTTGCTCCTAGCATACCCATATTCAAAATTATTCATTCTTCTCAGGCGAATCCCTTCATCTGACTTCGTCATCAGATGAGGCGAAACCGAAAAGGGGCAGCCTGATTCGTCGGAAACGTGGTGGATCGGTGAAAGTCAAACCCACGTCGATGGCGAGCTCCGGCGGCTGTCACCGGACGCAGTCGGAAAGATGTCCGCACACCTCGGACGTGAGCATCCTGGTGACCGAAGCTTCACCGGACAGTGCCATCAATGTAAAGCCGCCATTACAAAGACAAAGCAGCGAATCGACTGTTGTGCAAGTGCTGGTGCATCGGGAAAGCGAGGAGCACTATCCCGATGAGGAACCCTGCAGGAGCACCGCGATAACGATTCCAGAAGATCGCCCGGTTGATACAGACGTAGTTACGATGGATGATCAAACCGGGAGTGTGGTATTAGATGTATGGAACCGGGACGATGTCGGGAGAAGTAGCTGATTTTAGTTTAATGCATTCGTGACGTACACTGTCGTTGTTGAGATCCGACGTAGGTTGTTGAGTGGGACCTTGGATGTTACTGAAAAAAGAACAACGCTGCACAGGTTGGTCCAAATATTTTTAGGAAAACTGAGACAGGTCATAGCAAAATGCTCGGATTTACTGGACATCCTTGTTTATTTCGGTTGATTAATATCAACGTTAGTTTGGTAAATAGGTAAACAGCAAAATCTCTTTGAACAGAACCCTTTTAAGCAAAGCGTTTGAGTCCAGAATACTGTCTGCACTATTTTGGTTAGACAAGAAAAACACAACTCACACACTCTGGTTTCGGTTACAATTCTTGTTTATTAGTAGAGAAAGAAGTTTAAATTTCTCAAATTTATATATTTTAGTAAAACTGGAATATGAACCTCTTCGTATATTTATTTGGTAAACTCTTAACTCCTGCCTTACACCTAAAAAAATAGGTCTAGATAGATTGAAAAATCAACTCGCAAACAAACGTTCAAATCCTTTATGGCTCGCAAACATTTTGAACAATTGCACTGACCAATCTCCCGAAGTTCGTCGAATTTGGACCACCCTATACAAACTAACAAAAAACAATCTATTTACAACCTCCCAAAAAGTTTACCTAATCGCAATGTAGAACATACATATAGAAGCGAAATAACATGAACCAATCCGCAGATTGTACCTAATATTAAGCGTACAGCGAATTTTTTTATGAAATTGTTAAAAATGGCCGCTTCATGTTCAATTGAGCAGACAATAATTTAAATAGTTTTGTCGTTCCAATTTTAATATGAATAGGGATCATTTACACTTCTATTTATTAATTGAAAACGCGATGTTTCTGGTACACTTAAAACAAAACTCGCTAGTAACATAAACATTCCCGTATCTCTATACCAATCTAGTCATGTTAAGTTGACGTCGCTGCTTTTTTGTTTGTTCCACACATGCACGTGCGTACAAGTTGCTGTTACATACATGCAGATCTACAGGGTTACCAGTTTATTATAGGATACCTTGTGATCCTTATCTTGGAATCCTAAAAAATAGCAAAAAAATAGGGACAAAAGTAGTTTCGATTCACTTATATTTTAAAAATATTTTGTGTAAAATATTTTGTTATATATAAAGGATGTGTGTATTTTTGTGCACAAGTAACAAGATTCATATTTCAAATAGAGCAGCCCGAATATTCACACATTTTTTAATTCAAGGGAACTTATTGTTCATAACATATTTTACTCCCGTCTGTAAAATACCTAATTACCCACCGATCTAGCGTGTGGGAAGCGTCACTTTACCATGTCAGTTTCGTTTCCCATAAATCCAATCCACTTCAGACATTTCCGGGATTTTACCGCACGGAGTTTGGAGCAATCGAATGTTTTCAGAGATATTTCCCACTCTTTGAATTTTGGCGTTTGTCAAAGTCACTCGTTTATTAAAAACTCGCTCCGCTCGTGTCAAATAAACTCGTGAGTCAAATGCCATTTGCCGCACTTGTTGCATAATATACTATTATGTCAAAAGTGACGTTTGCAGGTCTAAATATATATATATATATATATATATATATATATATATATATATATATATATATATATATATATATATATATATATATATATATATATATATATATATATATATATATATATATATATATATATATATATATATATATATTCTCACGTATTGATTCACGGATGGAAAAATGTGATGACACTATATTCCGGGATATCATCCGTTCGCTCGTTGAACTCCGACTGGAATCCTGCATCCGACTGGAATCCTGCAGACGTTTCGCCAAAATCTCACTTGGCATCTTCAATGCTCGAACACTTCGAACACTGAGTGTTCGAAGTGTTTTCGGAGCGCGAGCATTGAAGATGCCAAGTGAGATTTTGGCGAAACGTATGCAGGATTCCAGTCGGATGCAAGATTTGCAGGATTCCAGTCGGATGCAGGATTCCAGTCGGAGTTCAACGAGCGAACGGATGATATCCCGGAATATAGTGTCATCATATATATATATATATATACATATATATATATATATATATATATATATATATATATATATATATATATATATATATATATATATATATATATATATATATATATATATATATATATATATATATATATATATATATATATATATATATATATATATATATATATATATATATATATATATATATATATATATATATATATATATATGTATATATATATATATATATGATGACACTATATTCCGGGATATCATCCGTTCGCTCGTTGAACTCCGACTGGAATCCTGCATCCGACTGGAATCCTGCAAATCTTGCATCCGACTGGAATCCTGCATACGTTTCGCCAAAATCTCACTTGGCATCTTCAATGCTCGCGCTCCGAAAACACTTCGAACACTCAGTGTTCGAAGTGTTCGAGCATTGAAGATGCCAAGTGAGATTTTGGCGAAACGTCTGCAGGATTCCAGTCGGATGCAGGATTCCAGTCGGAGTTCAACGAGCGAACGGATGATATCCCGGAATATAGTGTCATCACATTTTTCCATCCGTGAATCAATACGTGAGAATATATATATATATATATATATATATATATATATATATATATATATATATATATATATATATATATATATATATATATATATATATATATATATATATATATATATATATATATGTATATATATATGTATATATGTATATATATATATATATATATATATATATATATATATATATATATATATATATATATATATATATATATATATATATAATAATAATAATAATAACAATAAGAAGAAGAATAAGAAGAAGAAACAACTTTTATTCGTTTACACAAAATACAATATTATGAGTAAAAGAAAAGTAAAGAAAGAACAAGGGAGAAGAGCAAAATAATAACAGTGACAAGCCTATTAAAAATATGTTGCCTAAGTTTTTGTTTGAAAGCTGAGCTATATTTAAGGTTGATTTCCTTATAGGATTATCTAATTTAGAAGTCTATGTTAATATTTTCAAAATCAATAATAACCAGGCAATTAAAACATCGTTGAGAATTTTTTTTTAATGGAAACATCCCATTTTTATAATTTTATAGCATTTAATAATTCATAAAAGAAGTAACTATCGGCATGGCGGCATGGTTGGCGAAACAATATACGTATATATATCATTTTTTATTTTTGCAAATTTGCTTATAATTTCTCAAAGAAACTTCCACAAGCTACTGTAACACTTTTTACAAAACTTCTGGATTTCTCCTGCGTCCGTTTTTGTTGAGTCGAACTTGCTAACGTTTCGCCAATCATCCTGTTGACTTTTTCAGAGCTCGACTGTTTAACAGTTTCAGTCAAGCTCTGGTGATTGGCGAAACGTAAGTAAGTTCGACTCAACAAAAACCGACGCAGAAAGAATCCAGAAGTTTTAAAAAATATATATCTCTTGTTTAAACAACATTTTTCTAACAAAGACCTAAATAATGCAGAAAATGCTAGTGGTATATATAAACTATTATATAAACACTCTCCTATTTATGAGCTCCGTTTCCCGTATTCAAACAACTACAAATAAACGAAAGGATTCAGTCCTAGAAATCGATAGCTATATTTAAATTTGCAAAAGTCGGTAAGTAAGTCAATATCTCTAGAAAGTTGCTAGGAATTAAAAATTGTTTAAATTTTTAAATTATTTGATTATTTAAAATAAGAAAGTTGCTACTAGTCCACAGAAATATAACAATAATATATAAAAATAAAATAATTTAAAAGTATAAGTGAATCAAAACAATTTTTGCCTTCATATTACAGGTTCCGAGATAAATCCAATAATAAACGAGCCACCCACCTTATACCTTAATCGTATTTGAACTGGTTAATTTCATTCTTCCTAAAAATAATTTGTATGCTATGTAAATAATTGATAAAAATGCTAATGTAAATAAAAATTAAATTTACCGTTTACTTAGTTAGAAAGTACGAATGGGCGAGATGAGATATTCATTTTCAAATTAAACGTCTAAGAAAAGAGCCATTTGGAAACACGATAAAATTTGCCTCTTCAAAAGTGCCGGACTTTTCCGTTACAAGATATATAAAAAATAGGGGGATTTTCACCTTGAATTACCCCTTATCTATAAAAAGAGGGGCAAAGGAAAATCGGCCAGATAAGTTATGGGAAATATGGAGAAATTACACCTTGAGTGCTAGTAGTACCCCAGTAGAATGAACGAAAGAATAAAAGCGCTTCTGCGGTACGGCAATTTTTGTCATTTACAAGTAACTTGGACAACTGAAGAAATTTTAATAGGTTAATGACTTTTTCAGGTGGTCGATGGAAGCATTACTTTAATTAGTCTTTTTATCCATATGCTAAGCGTGCGAAGTACTGTATCTCAGAAATTATTTGAAATAAGATCGTGGGAAATATTTTCAAATTTCTAAGACAGCCATCTTAACTTTATAAATTGATTTTTCACTGTAATGCACCTAGTAAATGTACCAAAAAAATGTATGTCTTTCAAAGTTAAAATGTAGTTTGTTTTTTACACTTTTTCACCCATATATTATGATAATGTGGTGGGAGTGTTATTTGTTTAAATAAACAGGTGTTGCAAAGCTGAAATCATTGTAACAAACTTGGCCTTGTTGGAAACAGCAGTTATTGCTTATCTAGTAATAAAAAATTAAATGCAATATTATGACCTTTTTCATAAAAATCTCGTGAGTAGCCTAATGAAAAAAATGTATCTCCATATACCTCCATATACGATAAAAAAAAATTTTTGTTTTCATATAATTCTAAAAAAAACGCATTTACACCAGTATTTATTGTTATTTTTCAATATTCAATGATAAAATTCTATAATTATACATTTTTTTGTTTACTGAAGTTGAAAACTGCCAATATAGCAAAAATTTCTCACTAAAAGCTGATTTAAGCCATTATCGTTTGTAAGAAGCATTTTAAAGGTTTTAACGCCTTACTACTGGTGTTTACAAAAACAAAACAAAACAACTGCCTGTATAAGTAGAATTTTAGTATTTGTTGGAAAGGCGATTTTATGCATTTGTTTTCCCTTTCTGGTCTACTGTTTATATTCTGCCTTGCATTTTAATTAATATGCGCATACGCGTTTTTTCTTAGATCTCCACCAAGAATACATTACTAAAATTATAAAATGTAATCACTGAATCTTGAAACATAGAGGCTTTTTTAAATTTTATAAATCAAAATTTACTTTCTTCCATGTTTTAGGCTAGGACCAAGATATCGAGATACTATTTCCACTAGCTTACTATAATTTATCATTTCACAAATTTTTTATTAAAAAAAAACTTATTTTTGCATGTGGGATAAGATTCGTTTGATGAATTAATAAATTATTTTTTAAACGAGAGCAAGTTTGTTCGTAAGTTCCAGCTGTTTATTTAGAAAAGTAGATGAATCAACCTCCCCACCACTTTGTTTTATAAAAAGGTGAAAAAGTGTTAAAAAAAACAACTTCGCTTTGAAACTAGCTAGATTTCCAATAGAAATAATTTAAAAAATGCAAAATGGCGGTTATGCCACTTCGCGACCACCTGGACAAAATTTTCTAATATCTTCTTTTCCGCTGAAGCCTTGATGACATTCATTTATCCTTAAATTATCTGCAAAGGATTTTGAAAGCTTTGCAGGTCGACTAAGTCAGCTTCACAGTCTGTCTTCGTGTCGAAATGAAAAGCTTTTTGCGACTTAACTAAAATTAGGGTCGAGTTGTATTTACTACATGCAATATGCTGAAATATTTCCTATTGCCTATCATTCTGAATTATTAAACGGTCATCAGTCCTGTTTCATCGCGGAGTTAGTCAAACGTGAATGGCAAAAAAAGAAGGAACTGAGTATCAAATTATAACCGAGAGAATAATATATCTAAGACAATCATAATACCTCAAAGGCTGAGAAAGGTAGGTCGTTAGTGACTTAACTAATTCTCTGTGTTTGACTGATGTCGGAACACGTTATTATTTCGAATGATTTAGGTCCATTGGTTTCGTTTTTAATGTAAACTGTATGTATATATAATGTCTGTACTATTTTGCTTGTATAAAAAAATGCATTTGCACCACAATCTAAATTTTCAAGTAGTACACCAAGTGGCGGATTTCGAAATTTCCTTAATGACTTTGATAATTTGTTAAGAGTTGTCAGCTACGCTGAATTTACTTAAGTTAATTTTTAGTTAGTTAAATTCGTATAAGAAAATTTTGTAAAATACTGACTCAAAAGAAAGTCTTCAATTTAGCTTTCGATAGCGGTGATTTGATTACACAAATTTGTTACACTCAAATATTACCCCGATACAAGCAAAATGATTAGAGAAACTATTTGCGTTGTTTCGAAAATATTAATATAATTAAATTATAGAATTTTAAAGCAGTCAATTACAATTTTGAAAGGGACAGACGCCCAAAATGATATTAAAACATACTTGGGAGTAGTCGCCTTCAAGTAAGTGTTCAATATTTTCAATTATGTCAACTATTTTAACCATGACATATCTCATGTTGTCAGTAATGTCGCATCAACTTTCAGAATTCTAACTTGAAGGTGAATTGAATAGAAGATAATAGTTTTACAAATACTATTTAATTGTACAATAATTATAAAAACTCAAAATTTAAATATTGTATTAATACGAATAAAGCCTATTAAGTTACGAATTTGTTGGGTTTTAATTACTATGTATATATATATATATATATATATATATATATATATATATATATATATATATATATATATATATATATATATATATATATATATATATATATATATATATATATATATATAGTGTAAAGCTTGAGTTGGCCAAAGTATGAAATATGTTCAACAAAATGATTATCAATGTACACTTAAATTGCACTTACATATGCACAACCCACAGTCATAAGCAATTTGTCTACCATATTAATAAATTACATATTTTCTAAACTAAAAATGTACTGAACAACTTTAAAAATCATCCAAATGATTTGAAAATCGAATGTATAACAACAAAACCGCTTTGATATAACAACAACTTCAAAATAAACATTCACTTAGTTGCGCTTTTTGGTACAATTTCCTAATAACATCAAAAGACACTTTAAGGCGGCCTTTCCAACAAAGAAGGAAAACCAGAGAAATTTAAACGACAAAAATTACGGTACCAAAACTTCCATATAAGGAAACAATCAAGTCTCAAGTATCAGCTAACAAACTAACAAACAAATATGAATAACTTTTTAAATTGTTCTAAAACCGCATCGACTGGGTTCAGTGATTTTACTACACTTAAATAATTCCTTTCAGTTATTCCCATAAAAAAAATTTCATTTTAGTTCGGTAAAAATCAATGACGGCCTTAAAAAATAATTATGTTACAATTGTATACCGCAATTTATGAACATAGCTTACAGAATACAAATATTGGTTTGGTGTAATATTTCTGATCACATTTAATCACAGCAAGATAACGGTAACAGTGGTAGGTCTTAGACTACTGGAGTTATGTTTGAACTACTTATAAAATTTAGCTATTTAACATGTATTTGCTGTTGTTTCTGATATTAACCCATACCTTAATTGATTACAGAGCCATCATTTGTTGTCAGACTGAGGTGAAAAAAAGGTTCAAGTTCTTATCAGACTTAACTTGTGTCTATTTTTTAGTTCATTAATCAAATATTCGATCTCAGTTTATACAATAGTCGCCATGGCGGGTGAGCTTGTACTTATTTATATACATTCTGCAACACATCTTTACCACACATACCTAAAGCATAAGGTTGAATATATAAAATAAAGTGGACGATTTAGTATATGTTGCTTTTTTTGTTGCGTTTGTTTTATCGATCGTTTGTTTTATAGATTAACTCTGTCTGAGCTTGTCGACTGCTTAGAAAAAAGTGACGTTGAAAGCTACAGATGGGGCTGATATGGACAGTGAACTGTCTAATGACAATCATGAAAGTATTTCCCACTTAGGCTTAGGTGATGAGGAAGCATATTACGATGCTATTCTTGTTCATACCAACAAAGATCCTGATGATGATATACCACTTGCAGAATTATTTCGTGGTGCATCTTACAACTTTCGAGTAAATTCCAACAAACCCCCACCTCCGAAGAGAAGTAAATGCTCGACTCAAAATTTACTTTTGAATATTCAGCAGAACTGTAGTTGCAAAACTCCTGATCCTAAAAACAATATTTTGAACATGACAAGAAGCGAATTACTCGTCATTTTTGGAGGTCTTCTAGTGTCTGGATACGGTAAATATCCAAAGAAACGCCTATACTAGTCAAATGAAAGCAATGTGCCAAAAATGGGCAATATGCTCTAATAATGAATATCTGTTGAGTTTTGATATATACATTGGGAAAAAATAATTCTCAAAAGCAAACAAATTCATTTGGTTTAGGTGGTCCTGTGGTATTGAACACGCTTGAATTGGCTGAAATTCCTCGAAATCAAGAATTATTTTGCTTCTATGTTACTAGGCCACCTTTCTGTGTGAGGATACTGTGCCACAGGTACTATTAGAGCTAACAGATTAAAGGATTATCCACTAAAAATTGGTCAAAAAAGTCTATCAAAGAAGAACGCGGAATGCATTCTTTTTCGTGTACTGGAAAGACAATAAAGTTGTTACAGCAGCATCCAACTTCGAATCTACTACGTTACTGTCGCGGCAATAAATTAAAAAATCTCAATCCCCGCCCCCTCCCAACCTAAAATTTTTGAAAGTCGCAATACAGATATGGGAGGAGTTGACAAGCTAGACGGTTGGTCAATATTCTACTTTTTCGAACCGTAAATTCTTCAAACAAAATGTCTAATGCCTTCTTGAAATTGAGAAGATACGTTGCTTTTAGTCTGTTGAAGACGAACGGCCAGAAATCTAATAAAGGACAAATTGCACCATGAATTATTTACCGGAGTATTCCGAAAATGAAAGAAGATGTGCAGTTTTCCGTGAGAAAGTAAAGTTTGTTTCTATTAAATGCCAAAAAGGTTACATCCTAAAAACTGTTTTCTACAATACCATACCATACCCCATAGACAGCAACAGAAATTGTTGGAAATAATTTGAAAATGCCTAGAACGGCCGCTAGAGACAGCTAGTGCGAATAAGAAATGACATTTTCACGAAATTTTGGATCATAATCTTAACTTTAGCGAATTTCTATTTTTCTTTACCAATTTCTTATATGTACTAAAACAGAGTAATGGGGGATGGCTAGATATATTTTTATTTAAATGTTTATAACTCCGAATGGGGTTATAGGAATATTTTACCTTGCAGAACGTAGATGTATTTAATACTAGACCCTGGGGAGCATTTGCGCATTTTTTCAAAAATTCCAACAGTATGTGTAATTTCAGCTAATATTAGAGAGGAATAAAAATTTAAAAACTCAGCGAAAACCGCACCTTGGTATTTTTTTAATCTAAGACATTTGCAAAAAGTGTAATTAATAGTAAATGATACGCCATTGTCTATCTAATTTTTAGATGTAGTGTCAGTAATGTCCTTGGCTATGACTATTCTAAAAAAATATAAGAAATAAATGACTAATTCACTTTGATGTCGATAATACTAGTTGAATATTATGTAAAATGCTATAATTAACGCCAAAACAAGTAGGCGATTGAAAATGGTGATTTTGAAGTCTGCGGCAAGAATAGAACATTTAATGCTTAGGTTTCGCACCTTGAAGAAAGTTTTGCGAAATGATTCACAGTGTATCCTAATTACATCAACTAATAAAGGCATTTAGAAATCAAATCATCCAAATAAATCAATGATCAAAATTGTAATTTTGACGCTTAATTCATATGACATTAAATAAATTACCTGTTTGGTTCTCATATTTTCTAAGAATTGGTATACTCACCCTTTCAAAAATAAAGTAGTTGAGAAATTAAAAAAAAAAAACGCGGAATTAAACTAACCTTAACCACCACATAATTTTAGCAGACAGGGCAAAACATACGAAGACTATCATGACACTATATTTAACACCTTTACCCTAGGCAAAATTTTGTAAAAATCTCATTTTCTTATTCGTCACAGAAGTTGCGACATCTGGCGGCCGTTCTAAGAGATTAAAAATAATTGGCATCGATTTTCTTTGGGCTCTTCGGAAATATTTTTTACTCGCAGACAATACGGCCAAAAGAGCTATTCTTAGTGGGACAGCTGTTACCTATCAATTTCAAAGTATATTTATATACTTTTGGAATTTAATATTGACAAAATTTTGAAAATTGTTGCAGATGTTTTAGAATCACAAAGGTAGTGCCTTGTATAGCTTTTGAATTTCTTATATTGGACCAAGTTGACAATGCCACATGTAATTAATTAATGAGTTTAATACAACCAAGTAGATCAAATGTAACTCAGAATAGAAATGAACCTGTGATTCGAGTTCAGCTAAATATAAATTAGAGGAACCAAACAATTTTTTTTTCGCCTTCCTTCCTTCCTCCTACAACTATATCACTATCATAAATTGTCAACGTGTATAAAATATATATAGCTATCCATTCTGAAAAAGAAGTAACACTAATTTAAAGTAACACTTCTACTTGGAACGTGTTCCGCTTTGGCAGCAACAGCATCGTGGCGACGGCCATCATAATATGCCACAAACTGTGCAAATATTTATAGTTGTTTTCCGTCTGCAGCAGCCCAAAAATGATCAATCCGAACAACACAGATAAAATGCCCAGTGGCATTTTAATCCTCAGATAAATTTTATCAATGAACCTCTGCTTGAACTTCCAATATTTCTGGAACCAGTTCACGCCGATAATGATGATCCCCAGGCAAGTGGGTATGAGGAATATCCAAACTGCTAATTTGTTGAGGGTCACGAAAAATGCGATCACGATAGACCCGGCCACTTGCAATACGGACAACCACGTCGGATTTAAGTCGGCTATGGCCAATAAAGTAAGCCACATGGAATACAGTGCCGAGAAAAAATCGGCAAATTGCAGCGTACTTAATCGCGTAACACACACGCTCAAAATATTTTCGCCCGCGTCGCAAGCGTGATACAGAGACGAAAAGATAAATACTGAAAAGTAGGAAAGAGCTTCTACATAATACTTTCGTTTAAATGCCACATATGTCGAAGGCAGGAACAGTAAATTGCTAAACACAAGGAGCAGAAATCCAATAACCACAAGGTAGTATGGTGTAGCTAATGATCCGTCTGAACAATCAAAACCTGAAAATAGAAATGACAAATTATTTAAAAAAATAAAACTTCGGAAGTCATAAAATTAATCAATTAATCAATAACTACCGACAGGTCACTTAATTGAAAAAAAATCCATTCAATTTAATGAGGCCAAATTTGTGATTGTCGAACACCCACGTAAATTATTAATCACTGGAACACTGGTGGTTCTTGATTCTACTTGATTAACTTTTGAAAAATATCAAAGCACCTGAGTTCTAGCCTCACAACTAATTTACAAATACAGAGTGTTATTGAAATTACATCATATAATAACCCCGCCGTAATACCGAATCGATATTTTCTTCGGTCAAAATCAGATAAAAAGGACTATTTTTTCCTAGAATGACGATTCCCCAATTAGTTCACCGATGGTAACGGAGATAAACGTAAATAAACATGCCCCTTTTACTATTAAATACTATTAAATACTATTAAATTAATGTTTACATGTTACTTTTTAACATTTGACCAGCATATTCTACCTGCATAACCGACAATAAAGCATGATTAGTGGTGTTGTTATCATTTTTGGGGTGTGCGGTTTGTGGAAAGTGAAGCAAGAGCAGCATCTTAGGAAAAAATCAATTTTTTTCGTATTTAAAGTGTAATATAAAAGCCGGAGTTTCATGGAAGGCAAAGTGTTATTAAATGTAACAAGTAATTTGAAATGGGTCTACTACAGGAATCGATAAGTTAAAAGACATATTTACAGTATGCTTTTAATCTAGCAAAATTAAAAGCACTCCATATGAAATTCAGGATCAATTAAATATTGCAAAAGGCCTAGATACATTAACCGCATTGCTTGCAGTAGTAAAGTAATAAGTTGCAACTTTATAGAGTGAACTTTTTTTGTAGAGTGAACACACAAATGAAAATAAATAAGAACTAAAAGTTCAGATTTTCACGAAATTATCTATTTTGACATGACAATTGTTTCGACAACACCGTGTCTTTATCAAATGTCATTTGACATCAGTTGACATTTGACAAAGACACGGTGTTGTCAAAACAATTGTCATGTCAAAATATATAATTTCGTGAAAGTCTGAATTTTTAGTTCTTATTTATTTTGATAAATGGATTTTCATCAAGTAAAAGCCACCTCAGTTCATCACATAAATGGTATCATTGTGCTTTGCTATACCCTAAATCGCGGTAAACTCCGATACAATGAACTGCAACGCACGTCGTGAAATACATAATTAGGGGATTCCCCCGGCGACTCGGGGATTTTGCGTGTTGCACGTTGTCGATTATTGTTTGTGTGTATTTACATGCTATCAGGTTAAGTGCGGATAAGTACGTTTAAATGTGAGGTTTTACACAACAAACACGTCGCAAGAAAGAAATGTTTGAATTAAAGAAAAAAGGGTGAACTTCTAGAATTCCTGAGTAAAGGTGACTTTGTGGGTCTGCTTGCTAAAAAATATGGAATAGCCATGTCAATCGTATGTACAATAACAAAGAAAATGGCGCCGATACTAAAGAGATTATCACAAACATTTAGAGGTTCAGAAAAAAACAAAGACATTAAAAGTGTCTAGCTGTTCTAATATGGAAAGAGATTTATAAAAATGTTCTAAACTTGAAAGAAAGATACCGGTGAGTGGGCTGATTTTACAAAAAGCAATTGATGTGAAAATTTAATAAAATTATGACCTAAGTGTAATGTTGCAAAACATATACTTTAAGGGATGCAGTTTCAAATTTGGCTTTGGCCTGGAATATGCTAAAACCAAATGTTATAGAGAAATGTTGGAGAAATATTTTAACAATCAACTTGGATGATGAAGAGAACAATGTCCCCTTAAGTGTTTTAAAAGTATGATTACTTAATGATGAAGCACACAATGCTAACCAGAGTTTTATAGACCTCTTACAAAATATTAATGCAAATGTAAGTAAAATTAAAAGATGACTATGACAATACTATGTCAAATATAGAAGACAAGCTCATTTCATCAAGCCAAGCTATGCAATCTGTTAATGACCTTATCAGCTTGTAGAAATCAACCCAAAGAAAAAGTTTAAACCGCCTAAACTAACGCCATTTTTCATGCATGTTCCATAAAAATATCACATAAACATATTTTAAATACTTTTTGGTTTAATATTTTTTCCATAAACCTTAGTATGCATTTAAATATAATAGTACTTTATGTTGTTTGTTCCTTTTTCAGAATATATATGTATTATTTTTTTGATTTTATCTTTAATCTCAAACCCCGCAAATGTGAACGCCCCCGAAATAGTAAAATTGCTTTACCACAATATGTTCACTAAATCGCGACTTCACTGTATTCAGATTCCCCAAATCGCTAAGTATCATTGTCGGGTATTCCTTAAGGTTCTAGGTAAATCGGACATCACAAACAGATAATAATTTATTATTAAATAATGATAGATAACGCTCTACAATTACAAAGATATTATTTAAAATATTTTTTGACTAGACAATTAAGAAGTGGTCAATTGACCAGCCCTAACACGAGGTACACTGCAAGAATAAAAATTTTACATCAAAAATTATTATTAGGATAATATTATTATTTAATATTTCTTGAGTGACATTCATCAACAGAGCAATTTGTTTTGTGTTTGGATTTGAAATCGATAAGCTTTTATTGAACTTTGTGATGAATCCATAAATGAATGGTGAACTACACCAAACGAGTTTTTTAAAACAATATCAACATAAAAAATGCAACGCAGACATGAACCTCGTATGAAAACATATTACTTCCAACCTATGGTAATATTTTTTTCCGCCAGAGGTCTCATTAAATTGTGAACTCGACAATAAGGATTACAAGCAGCCCACTGTTGGTAAATTATCGCAACCTGTTTGCCGTAAATATTTCACGTTAATTTCGATAAATAAGCTGCAAAGGCTGTTTTACACAAGGATTCCATTCCGAGAGATATTGTTCATTAAATTATATAATGTCATTTCAATAACACCTTGTATAAACTGAAGACAATAATTGAATTGTCCTTTCACAGTTAGTGAGGAGGACCATAACAGTGCCACAACTAAACATCTAAAAGAAAAAACGTATAACTTACCTCTGTAACTATTAGTGCAGTAGCAAGTGGAGTACACCGTGCCCTCCGAGATCATAAACACACAACGTCCGTTCCTCCCGCAATCTCCATAGTAACATGGACGGGAACTGACGTCAAAAACGACGCTGGCATTGTGGATATCCGAGTTCTTTTTACATGGACCATCGCAATTGCAACTCGAACATTCATCCATTGCGATAACGGTTGAACTACAGTTTCTCATGCAATTTTCATATTCCCCTTCATTCGAATTGATAGAAATCAATTCGCACTGATCGGTGCACAAACTGTAGTCACTCTGACAGGAATCGGAACAATTACAGGGATCGCACTCACCACTGAACAGTTTGAACGAGGCGTACCAAACACCATATTCCGGATATGGTATCAGTATGGTTGAATTGGATGTACTACTGTTGAGAAGTAATTGCGACTGAGACGTTTCGCTGCTAGACACGCAAAGATTAGGCCAAGTGGGTACCGCGATGGAGCCGTGATTAATACAAGCGACGACTATGTCTTCTCCTGGATCATTGCTATATCTCAGAAACTTGCCGGCTTTAGTTATTGTTGGTCTGAAAGCTAGTATATACTGTAGTGTTCCACCTGCAAAATTCATTAATTCTTATAGAATGTCCACCCTAAAACTAGCAAAATTCCCTCCCATTCCCACTCCAAGCGTTGTCTGTCCAGTATCAATTTCAATTTCAATTAATTTGATGCTAAATTTTGGGCTGTGCCAGATATTTGACTTTTTAGCTCTTAATTAGGGAAATAATTTTGTCAATGTTATTATTAGTATCGATTACAGCAATAAAGATATTTAATATTATTTATGAAAAAAAATTATTGTGAACAATTCTTACCAATGTCGTGTCCTTCGAGCAATTTGAACTTCAAAACGGAAAAATGGTCGCTTGATACGTTAATCGGGACAAGAACTTTGGAATTGAACTCGTCCTCCAACTCGAATGAGAACAAAAAACTTTCAGAACTGGACTCCCTAACCAAATAATGTAGTTTATAAGGTTGCGTTTCAGTCAGATTACTACTATAATAAGTTCTGATAACTGTGGTTGTATTCAAGATGATGTCGTCATTTTCCAGTAACCGGGAATGCAAATATATTTGACTAGAAAAGTATTTTATCATAAAATTGAACTCTAGGTCGGCAGGAATGCCGCCAGGTGTAGCGATCGTCATGTAATGCCAGGACTCCGGTTCAGTTCGCAACTTTAGATTGTACGCGGAGTCATTGCTAAAAATAGCTTTTTCTATCAAATAACTGTCGGGTGTAGGAGGTTTTTTTGCTTGGATCCAGATGTTCACCGACTTAACATATTTGGAAACTATAAAATTGTCTATATATATCGATGCGTGATCAATTCCCTCCGGAATGTAGAATTTAAAATGGCGGGTGCCCGTTTGATTTAGGGTTACATCCACATATTGGTTTTCTGCTATTATTGTGGGATTAGGAGCTTGTTTTACGTGAAGCACGGTTTCAACCGAAGCGTAACATGATTGACCCAAACCTAGAAAAGTAAACAACAGGTTTTCATACAATATCGAATTTATAAGGCAAATTTTATTCAGAGGAAGACAGGCAGATGGGATTTCTTTGTCGTACACATTAATATCATACACATGATATGTTTTGACTATTTTTAATTTTCATATTTGGTACTGGAGTGTCCCTAAGGAAAAGTGCCATTTATTTTGTCCCCAAACTTGGTCTTTAGGGAGATATTTTTTATTTATGGAAAAAAATTATAATTTTTAACAGTTCTGAATAAAAAAAAAACCCTTGTTTGGAGTAAAAGATAGCTGGTGCTGGAGCTACTTGAGGTTTTAGCAAGACATAATAAATTATAGTAACTTGACAAGGAACTATCGCAGAGAATAATAACTGTTTCAGCAACAATTATGACGTAAAAATATTGTAAATTTTTGATATTTTTGAAAATATTGTCAGCAGTAACTTTTATGAGGCGATCAAAAGTGTTTATGGCCTATATTTCATTTAGCTAACTTAGACCGTTTCCGAAATAATAATAAAAAAACTTTTTTAGGGCCCCTTTTAAACATTTTCACTTTTCAAACACACAAAAAATTGCATATTGCACCTTTTGCACGCAGAGTCCCATTCAAGTGTAGTTCGATCTCCCTGGGTACAAAAAAAAAGTACCAAGGAAACACTGCTAGCTTCAGTTTCTTAATTCAAGAGTTATAAATAATTATAGGTGGTCATAAAACTGTGCTTTCTAGAAATGTGAAAATTATAATTTTCAATATGTTCAAAAGCTCTTGACCATAAAAAAACTCAAAATTCAACAAGTTGCAAAAATTGTTGAAATATGCTCGAATATGACTGGAATTCGAAAGTCAACAGTGGATTGTGAAAAATAGAGTAAGTGCATGGAATTAAAATAAAAGAAGCAGCTGATAGCATGCTGTAGTAGCACACTGTAGAGAGAGAAATATTTATTACAACTTATCTATTCGCACATTGGTTTTACTTCTATATAAGGCTTTATTTTTTTTCTCATGTTTAATTATTATATTGACTAAACTCGTCTTTCTACTGTGCGCAAATTAGTGTGACCTAATTTAAGAACAATTGGAGGTGTAGGTCTTAAAAACAAACATTCAAAATTTTTAAAAATTAGCTTTGCAATTTATGTTTTTAAGAAACGAAATATAATTTGCGATTTAGTTAGTGCAAGTTTATTTTGTCTCCGGTATATCCAAATTAATACTGAATAATGACCAAGACACTTAAATGTATAGCTGATTTGCGCTTTGTCAAGTACAAGTATTAAGCTTTCAGTGGTAAGTTAACATGTGAAAGTGGTATTAAGAAATAGTTCTTTTACACTTTTGCAAGTACAAGTTTTAAGTGCTGAGTATTGATAGATCAGGTTTTATTTGGCTGCTTCTTCGTACTGGCCTTGGCATTACTCACTTGTAGAATCAGTTTACAAATTGACAACTAAGTACACACATGCACATGTTATTAATCAAAGTGGAAATGGAGTTAGTCATGTTGCAATCTTGAATGAATTGAATAAATAGCTTCAGAATCTTCATTCTATTTGCTCTGATACACTGAGGATAGCTTTTGCAAACCATGTTCAATTAAAATTTTTTTAATTTATTTATTTTCAGCTTCAAAGTTATTCGAGAGACCATGTTTAAATAAACATTTCATAACTCCTAACTTTTTGAGATAAATCAAATTCTGTAGAATTGTTCTTGAGTGTTAAATGTTAAAAATATAAATAACTTACCTTGTTGTGTCAGAGCTCGGTAGCGTGGATCAGAATAAGACAAAAAGCTAGCAACATAATAAATTCCCGGGTCTGGAGCACTAATGTTAATATAATGTTCCTTTCTGTTTGTAAAAAACTCCAAATTGTATATTTCTGGACGGGTGATGTTCTTAAAGTCATCCGGAAATGGAGACCCATCTGGATTTATTACTGGAGGTGAACCATACTTCATATATAGTGAAACATTTCTTGTAGAACAACCTGAAATGAACATAGGGGATACAAAAATGGTTATGTTAACAACAGAAATTAAACTTACCAAAAACGGATAGATCCTGTTCTGAAGCAGTGAATCTGAATGACGCAAAAACAGTATTTTCAGGGACCCGAAAATTATTTACTACAGCATCTAAATATGATTCATAGGTTTCTAGACTGGCTGTTTGACTTCTTGCTATGACGCGCAAATTTTCACTTTGCAAAGTTGGAGTGGAACATAGTAGAAGGAATTGAATCAAATATAAAGAAAGCATGGTTTTAAACTAATCGGTAACTGAAATACAAAACAGCTTTTATGTAGTATTTGTAACAATCTACATGCTGTCAACAATTTCATCTATCTATTTTTGAAAAACAAATTTCAACAAAATATCTGGAGCACTTGTAATGAAAATCAGAAAAATTCGTTTTTTTAATCAACACCCTGTATATTGTGAATGCCGACTTACATGCTTTTTCTTAAAAATCACTCAAGGAATCATACTCATCAAATACATACTTATCAAACATCCTGTATTATTCCACCATATTATGCTATACAAATGTTTAGTTACTAACTTTACAGCACATTGTTTACATCATAGTAATCCATTATAACGGATTAACAGTAACTGCGCAAATACGTTTGCAATGAAAATTTTACGGGTGCCAGATATGAAATAACCTCCAAGTCGGTTGAATTTCTGATAAATTGTTTTATGGATTAGATATAGATAAGCGTAATTAAAAAAAATAAATAAATAAAAAATACAATTTATCTATTTGATGGTGCTACTATTTCTCATTGAAATTAGTAAAAAAAATGTAATAATGAAGTTTCCTCAGTCAATTGCTTTCAACTTTATAAAGAAAAAACGTAATTAAACCTTATCGGATAGCTAGTTATTAAAAGCGTTGAAAAAACGAACACTAATAGGCCCACACAATCGAGTTCCACTTGAATTGCACACTTAAAATATGGAGAAAACATTTTAATTCCAACTAAGTGTATCTTACCCATAACTCCACATTGTGTAGCTACTTAAGCATGTCAGAAAATGAAATGTGGGCAAGTCCATAACAACCGCATTATAATTTTAATTTACTTCACGAAATGGCCGAATAACAAACACCAATTCGATACAAACAAGTAACAAAACTAAAACCAATCTGTCAAAGACAGCTGACCGGCACATTCTATGCGAAGCGCGTTCGGAAATAGCTAAAATTTCATTACGCCTAGACGCTGCTAATTGAACAACAAAGCATACATGTTTGTTATCGTACGTGCAGTTGCTCGAACAGAAAATCGGAGGCCGCAGAATAAGGACGGTAAACGCCAGTATAGACCTGGCAGCGACGTCACCTATCCTGTTATAGGAGGATCAAATAGTTTAGCATTTTGATGCTTTCATTTCACTTGGAGGATAAATTTATGTAACATGCTCTAAGTAATATCACATCTTTAAATTGAGTGATCTGACATGTCACACAACTGTCTGAATGATCATTAAATGATATGACTTTGCACTAGACTTGTATGTATGAATTGCTTTGGGACTTGAGATTTTAGTTAAATTTCTTTTTTACCTAGTTTGCGTGAGATAATGTTATTCTATTGAAAGTTTTTATTAAGGAGGTGGACGTGGACAAACACAAACTCCAGTTTCATTTAAAAATATAAGTCTCTCGCTTACTGCTATATGCGGGATTATTAATCTACATGTCTTCAGAACCAATAGCAAAGGCAAGAGGCGGGGCGTGGACTGAATATTTATGAAGAAAAAATGACACTATTTTTTCGAAAAATAAAATGTTCAATTTTTCCATGCGGCGTGACGCACCGTTTTCATATATTTTCGTGTATGACCAAATTGCTAAAATTTCAAATAGGTTAATTATATTGGCAAAACTGGCAACCAGAGTTGATTCTATTTGTAAAATGAGCATGAAAACCCCTCTTTATTAACTAAGTTGGTAAACAATATTACAAACACTGGGATTTCCTTTTTCATAACTTTCATTATAAGGGGTGTTTTTTTTCGATGTATAGAACTTTAAGTTGCAATAAAACAATGATGGATTATTCAATTGACATGAATTTTATTTATCCGAAAGATAATCTTGTGGCATTACATTTTAAATATGATTTCTGGCATATGACCGCCACAGCTGGCGCGGATGTAGTCCAATCTGGACGTCCAATTTTCCATGACTTTTTCCAACATTTGTGGCCATATATCGGCAATAACACGGCGAGTGTTGTCTTCCAAATGGTCAAGCCTCTGTGGCTTATCTGCATAGACCAATGACTTCACATAGCCCCACAGAAAGTAGTCTAGCAGAGTTAAATCACAAGATCTGAAGGCCAATTCACAGGCTCAAAATGTGAAATTAGGCGGTCACCAAACGTGTCTTTCAAAAAATAGATTGTGGCACGAGCTGTGTGACATGTTGCGCAGTCTTGTTGAAACCACATCTCCTGGACATCATGGTTATTCAATTCAGGAATGAAAGAGTTAGTAATCATAGCTCTATACCGATCATCATTGACTGTAACGTTCTGGCCATCATCGTTTTTGAAGAAGTACGGATCAATGATTGCACCAGCCCATAAAGCGCACCAAACAGTCAGTTTTTCTGGATGTAACGGTGTTTCGACATACACTTGAGCATTAGCTTCGCTCCAAATGCGGCAGTTTTGTTTGTTGACGTAGCCATTCAACCAGAAGTGCGCTTCATCGCTAAACAAAATTTGCTTATGAAAATCGGGAACAACGGCAATCTCGTTTTGGGCCCATTCGACGAATCTATGCCTTACTTGATGAATTCATGATGAATATACCAAACCAAACTGAGAATAAATCACTTGACAGCTGTTAAATCGGTCGCCATCTTGAACAGCAATGCCAACTTAAAGTTCTATACATCGAAAAAAAACACCCATTATTAGATCGCGTCGCTGAAATTCACAAAATAGAGAATGTTTGCAATTTGACCATGTAAGAAAATTGCTTTCCTATTTTTTCTCAGCTATGCCTTGTTTTGCTCAGTCGATATAAAAATTAATACGTTATTTTTTCACTCAAGTTATCTCATCAACCAAGTCCACGAATTGTTGTTATCTTATCATAATTTTTTATCATAGACTAAAATATTTAGGGCATTTAAAAAAAAATGCTCAAACTATTAGCTGGATATTCGTCTTCCAAAATACAGAAACTAATTCATATTATAAACGTAGTGCAAATAAAACAGCTTTTGTAACACAGAGTGAAAGTCCTTACGTTTTAGGCTATATGCATGTAATGAAGCTGATAGTGATAATTTTCTTTAATGTTAACTTTTTAACGCAAAGTTCATTCTTTATCAAGGGTTAATAAAGGTTATTCATGGTTAGACATATCTCGTTTTCAACCAATAAAACCTGTCACTTCAAATCTCGCTATCAACTAATAAGACCTAGCGACCCTCCACAACCATTGTGGCTGCTGACATTTAATTTCACAGTTTTGATTTTGTATGTCGCCTTTTTATGAACTTAAGCACTCCTTAAAGCGACAATCAACAAAGCGCAAGTTAGTGTGCATTTTTACGGTTCTTACGGTCATTATTTGTCAAACATAAATATGAATTATTGCAATGTGCGTTAGCCGTTGAGTACAAAGTACTGTGACGAGCGACCTGTGCCCGGCGAATCCACCAGAAACTGAATTGAACTGAAAAATTTATGATTAGTAGAACTTTTTAAAATTGGAAAATTGGAAGCGCGATAGTCCACTGTTTCTTGGGTACATCCAATTTAATCAACTAAAATAATACTATAATCAATAAGAAAGAAGTTGGCAATACTGCTGATTTGAAACTTGGAAGATATATAAAATTTAGAATTTTTTCACGCTTCTGGTTTAACCAGACGTCAAATTTTGGCTTTTAATGAAACCATAACGATGATCGATCATTTTCTCTTACTGTGAATTTTATTTGACTTGCAAAAATATTTTTTACCGCCGGAGAACTGTACAAGTGACAAGAGTTACAAGATTAACTGGTCCTACGAATTACGCGGTGTGGGAAGGACACCCCGATCATATTCATATTTTGCCCTGGCTGAGGAGACGTCATATATTTTGCGATTTTTGATATTTCTAAATTACACGTCAAATGTTGTTGTCTGCTGCAAGTAATTTAGCGATTTGTTAGAGTTGCATCGCTTATGTAACCACCCAGTGTAGTTGGTTCGGCCAGCTGGTCCACTTTGTGAGGCAAATTTTATCAGATGGTGACTGGTAGTACTATATTTTTTCTTTTTTCTACTTTGCGAAATGAATTCATCTATCCTACTATTTTTGATTTCGACAATCTAGTGTTTGCTGAAAACCTACTAATAGTATCATGCTAGTATTTAATAAACATTTTTGTTAATGTTAAATTTTTGCGATGCAGTAATGTATATATTGGCAAAAATAAGTTTAGTGATTTGGACGAGTAAAGCGTTTACACATATAAGTAAAAATGTAAATATAAAAATGTAAAAAGAATACCTATGAATAAGTTTAATAGAAGAATTAGTCAATTGAGATTGGTTCTTCACAATTGGATGATAACTTTGGACACAGTTTCCTTATTTGTTTCAAAATTTTGTTATACGTTACTCAAAATTACAATTAACGTCACAACTTTGCAAAATTCCCCCTAATGGTAATAACGACTACTAAGCATCTAATAAAACAATTATAACGTTCAGATCATCAAATAGCATATCGCCAGGCAGTAGGAATCCACCGTCTTTCTATTTTGACAGTCATGAGATTTTGGCGTATAAGTTAGAAATAAATAATAATTAGTTTGTGTTCTTTATCTGTCGATCTAAATATCACAAAAATTAAAAATATTTCCTTTTCTCAAGAATTGAAAAATATTGGTTAAATGTAAATATTTTTCGCCATACCTATAGCTAAGTGAAAATGTAATTTTCTACTCCCGTCTGTAAAATGCCAAATTACACAGCGATCTAACGTGCGGAAAGCGCCACTTTACAATGTCAGTTTCGTTTCCCACGGATCCGAGCCACTTCGGACATTTCCGAGATTTAATGGGTTTGGGAGCAATCGGATGTTTTCGTAGATATATCCCACGCCTTGAATTATGACGTGTGTCAATTCTGACGGTCATATCAGTGAATGTAATCGTGTTGTTTTGCGAAAATGTACCCAAAAACTAACAGTCATAGAAAAAGTATAGTATGCAACACATTCAGTACCTATACTTTTTAAGTCACTCGTTTATGAAACACTCGCTCCGCTCGTGTCAAAAAAACTCATGAGTCAAATGCCGTCTACCGCACTTGAAGCATAACATACTATTTCAAATAAATTAAAAAATATTGGGGGTTATATTTAAAAAATACTAGTTATGTTATTTTGATAGATTTGCAATTCTACTTTTTCTATTCTATTACTACCAAAAGAGTTTAGACAAAAAAAATAATTAAAATCTTTTGTATTGAAAGTCGGTACGTATGGTGAAAAATATAAACACATATATACACAGTCCCATTTTGGTCGCGAGTGAAGAGTATGTCCGTTGTTAGTCAAGATAGAGCCTTGCGTTTTCGCAAACCTTTGGTAATCTTTTTGTGAAGCGAAAGGTGACGTTAACAAAATTTTCATGACTTGCTTAGTTTTTAAAATAAAGTTTTTTGAATTTGAAGTTATGGAGCACGCCTCGTGTCTCGGGTATCCTATGAAGGAAAAGTGAAAAGCGTATCCGATATAGATTTTTGCTTAGAATTCTCTAGTGTAGTGTTTTTTTTTATAAATGGTTTCGTCTTTTTGAAAAAAAAGTTTTTTTTTAATGGAACACTTTATATCTTTTATATCTTATAGGTCAATTTGATTCCGCTTGGTATGAGCTTTTCAAAAATATATAACAGTATGGGGTTAGTTGTATAAATGACCTCACAAAAATTATTTTTTTATATTTTCATGAAGGTATTGAAAAAGGATTTATTAAAATTATTTTATTTTATAATAGGCACTAATGGTCATAACAGGTGGCCTGCGAGGTCCTCTGATTCAAGCGTTTTAGACTTTCTTGTAGCCACATTTAAAAAGTAACATAAATGTCAATCGAAACAATAATATCAGGGAGCTCCGAGCAGCCATTCAAGTTTGCGAATGCAACCTCTTGTTATTCTGAATGCTTTGGAGAGGATTGAAACTGAGTGTAGGTGTAGGTAGGCGTTAGAAAAAATGGTTGACATTTTGAACAGAATAATTTTTATGTTTCTTATCATTTCAAATAATTGTTTTAATATCTAGGTTCTCGTTCTGGTTTATCTTTTTTAAAAATATATAGGTCATAGAGCTATGTGAGATGTTACAAATAAAATGTTAATATTAATCCAAGTTGACTTTATGCACATTATAAAAGTTATTGTGTAAGTATAGTCAGGAATAAATGAGGTAACTATTTTACCTATTTCATAAATCGTTTTTCAAAGGCCTACACCAAATACCTTAATGAAATTTAAAAAAAAATATTTTTGGGAGGTCATTTATATATTTTGGAGAAGCTCATACTAAGCGGAATCAAATTAACCGATAAGATATAGGGTGTTCCATTAAAAAAAACTTTATTTTTGTTCTACGTAAAAATCTATATCGATTGCGCTTTTCACTTTTCCGGCATTTCATAGGATACCCGAGATGCCTTGGATTTTAAAAATTCAGCAAGTCATACAAATTTTGTTAACGTCATCTTTCGTTTCACAAAAAAGTACCAAAGGTTTGCGAAAACGCAAGGCTCTATCTTCCTCAACAATAGACATACCCCTTAGTCGAGACCAAAATAGGACACAGTGTACATATGTATATCCACATTTTTTTCAGAAGTTGGATTGTTTAAAGAAAATATTGTCGAATCATTAAATAATAATATGTAAATGATTTTAGTGACAATTCTATCGGTAAATAATAAATTAAGCAACGATAACACCCCATTCTCCCACTTACATCAATGAGTTTTTTTCTATCACTCCGGTTCCACTTCCTTTTTCTTTAATTGCTCGCTGAGGACCAGACAAGATTCTATTGGTTAGTTTCGGATTTTTAGTCAGTGCAAAGAAAAATGATGCATCTTCCTCTTAAGGACATCAACCAATGTTCTGTACAATGACATCTTGTAATGAGAAAAACGCTCTTTAGTCTTACACAAATTATATTCTAGATACAGGAGTTTTAATAGTCGTCTTGAAATTTTCCTAAGCTGGGCTGGGAATTTCTCACTGTTGTAATTTGTTCTCCAGAGGAGTTGCTTAATCGAGGACCTGGAAATAAGCAATTTACATTCATAAAAGTGAATTAAAAGCAAGGAAGTTTACCATCGCTGGCTTCTACGTAATCGTCTTTGTGACGACATAAATAATGATTAAGTAGTAATTTGGACAGTTCTTTGTTAAAAGAAAGATAAATCCAGGGATTCGCGCAGCTGTTTAGACTGTATAGAAGGCCCAAGATTGTGAACACAGGACCTAAAAAGCGAGAATAGAGTTTTCTGGCTCTTATTTTTTTGTATACGTAATGCTAACTACCTTCCAAGAAGGAACTTGTGGGGTCGATGGTGGCCCACAGTTGGGCCATGATGAATGGCGTTGAACACAAAATATACAACGCTATAACCGCCACCGTCTGCTTAACGGTGTTGATTTTTGCCCTAGAAATCAAAGGCAGACCCGCCCCTTTCAATTCGTTGGAGTGGCGGGGGCTCATTTTTGAATCGGTGCACCGCCAAATTTCCCGACAAATGCAGCCGTACGTATAAATCAGTACCGTGAGCGGTACAATGAATACTGAAGTTGCGTACCTGGAATATTAGGGACGTTTAAGGTCAGGAAATAAAGAAAAAACATTACATTAACTCTTTTGCGAATTATAAAAGATTTCTGCAAAAAATGTAAGAAACAATAATGAAAAAAGGAAATTTTATGAAAAGCATTATTTATGAGTTATGATTAAAACTTAAACAGTAACTGGTTATTGAACTCATCTTTACGGGTCGTTTTCGTCATTTTAATAATTTTTCCAGCAAAATTAAATAAGTATCTACATCAAAGTTTGAAAATAAATAAAAATATACTAAAGGTACTTTAAATGTGCCATGATCTTGTTGTTTACAGGTACAGTCGAGAGCTAAAAATCATGCGACTTGTACCTTTAATAATCGACAGCTTTTTTGTAATAATGTTGTACATTCAAAACGACTACATGAAAATACGAAATTACTGAAACTTCATGTTTTTAAAATAATTAATTTAATTACCGTTCCTGTAAAAAAAATACGGTATATAGTGTATTATATTATATGTATGTGTACAGTAATGTTCATGTTAGCCAGTAAACTAGCTGTTTTAGACAACTAAGACGCTTATAGTAATCATACTAACTAAAGACAATTGGATAGTGTACAAAGTGTCTAAAAAAACTGTATATTAACCAAAGCAAATGAAACCAGCTAGATTCTAAGCCATCCACTAATTATCTCTTATCTTGTGGGAAACGGCAGATATCTACAAAATAACAGCTCATTTAGATAGTTTGCAAATTAACTGGTTAGGTTTGGTTATTTGAAAACTAGCCAACAAACCAAATTAGCCGTGACGTACCTATACATACAAAAATTATTTATGAGAAAAATTTAGATCACAAAATTGGTTGGCGATTTAAAATATAATTTTGGGAAAAATCAACAAATTTAGAACTGCAGAAATGTGGCCGGTGATAAAAATGTGCACTAACAAGCATAGTGCTTAAGATATTTACAAATCTTCTGGATTCCTGCTGCATCGGTTGTTGAACTTGCTGATGTTTCACCAAACATCCTGTCTCGGATGACTGATTCTCTCTCATATTGGTAAAGAATTGAGTTTTGGTCAGAAGGAATAGAGATTTGCAGATAGTATCAATTTATTGTTATTCTTTTCCTCTATTGTTTTTGGTTTGTTCAGAATTCAGTATGGAGATTTTAAGGCCATATTCATCGTCCAAGAATAAGTCTGATTTTTATATAAGAATATGTGCTAACTTGCTCCGTTTTCCACACGCACACACTTGGTCTATAACCATCACAGGACCAATGGAGGTCCTCTTGGTAAACTACACACAACATGTTAACTTGAAAATAACCAAAAAAAGTCATCCTGTATAATTAAATAAACATTTTAACTCTAAAAAAAAAGAAAATTTCATGCAATGAATGAACACTAATAATGTTAATAGTAAATTCTTGAAATAGTAATTCACAATGTTTGCAGAAAATCAGGTTATTCAGTGTTCAAAAAAAATTACCAAATCACGTAAGCCTTTTCACCCCACGTTGTTGCGAATGTGGCCCAACAGTCGTATACTCCAGGTTCCACTTCAATGTATGAAAAAATTGTTAGCTACAATAAAACAAGGTAAATTTAAAAGTAGGAGATGTAATTTCGGACCAATAGTAATAATAAATATCTGGAAACTATTTCGCCAAAGAAGAGAAAATGAGAGAACTGACAAAGTAGCTATTTCAATTATTTGACATAGATAAACTGAACTGCAGTTGAAGTGAGATACCCAAGAAGATAGCAACCTTTGATTAGGTATAACTTATAGCAGTGTAATGCGTCATCCTTAATGAGTAGCGTTGGAATTACTTTTTCAAATTCCTTATCGTTATATAGGGTGGGAATGTAAAGTTCTTTAAAATGTTTGATAAATGACTAATTCTACACCTCGGGACGTCTTTGCCATTTTTTTGGTAGATTGTATTTGTCATGGCAATGTGGTAATTATGTAAGGTTTCGTTTTTATTTTAAAATTGAAGTAAGAAATAACAGAAATTGGTCCAAATCAGCAGCCTGCAAAAATCTATTTACGACATGCACCTTTCAGGTTAATAATAGAAATAGAGTTTCTTCTTTTCATTCCTTTACGAAGTTCCTGGACCTGTTATTGTTTAGTTCTAATTCTTAAGTACAAACGGAATTTCATAAAATGATCATATTCCTATAGCAACGCATTGTATCAAAAAAATGGAAAGTGTTGATCAACATTATAAAAATTCTTCGCTAAAAAATGCAAGTATATAGCCGCCTTAGATTCATACCCATTATAACATGAAAGGATATAATGGTCTGAAAATCCAACATCGGTACAGAAAAGTGGAACTTATAGCTAGTAAAACTTAGGCCATTTCATAGGTGTCCCACTTCAGCTACCTTTCAGTTTACTTGTTCATGAGCCAATATACAGGCTAACAGAAAAACTAAGCAATTGATTTGAGATTTTGTACATATTTTGGAAAATATATTTATCCCCATCTAGCAAACCTTTAACTCCTGACATCTAAACTTAATCAGCTGGAAAAGCTTTTCTTAAATTTATTTCCATGACAAATGCTGATAATGCTTATATTACAACAATAACATCATAACGTTCATAATTAACGAAATTACTTTATTTTAGTTTCCGAATGATTTTTCATTCTCTCATTAATCAATATTTATGGTTAGTGTGAAAAGTTCGCTTATCGCTATTGGGATTTCACAAACGGTAGAAGATACGGAGTTCAGGGTAAAGCATTTGTGACAAATTAAGAAAATTGCTACTAGTTTCTGGGATATTGAGAAAAAAAATCGCAGGCGTTATATCTGTATTTTTGCCAATAATTTAAGCTCGGCTTTTGTTATTCAACAAAACGCCATGGTGAAACATTCGTAAACATTATTTCAAAAGTTCAAAAGGTCTCGGTCTAGAAAGTAAAGAAAGTATTTGTCAGTAGATTCAGCAGTTAACGGTTGCGAATACCAAGAAGTAAGTCACTACTACACACACGCTATTTTATACGTTATGCCCAGTTTTCTTTGGATGGATTTTTATTGGTAACTAGGCTTTTACAATTCTATACTAACTTTCAAAAATCTACGTGTGCCAACTGTTCATTGTCATTGTTTTTAGATCAAAACTTCATTACGTACTAATTAGCACGTTATCAAATAAGGAAAGATGAATTTCTCCGCTACGCCCCCAAAATAGAAATGAAAACTTTTAAAAACTTTACAATTATAAAGTAGATACTCTGTTTACTAACCTGCGGTACGCAGCAGAGTAGACTTGCTATCCAGGCGGCATATACCATGGCGCTGGATCTTTTTGACGACCACGCCCAGTACGTTAAAGGATGGCATATAGCCTGATATCGATCCACAGCTGTTGCCATCAATATGTATGGGCTTAGGTAAGGACCCAACGTCTGACAATACTAGAAATAGAGTATATAAAGCGCTGTTGCGTTGAAAGAATTGCATTTATTATTTTCTGCAAAACGTTAAATATTTTGCAAATTTTCTCGATAACAGCAACATCCATCTAACTAATTGGCGGTTTAAGTGGATGTTGCTGTAGAGTAAGGAAAATAAGACTCACCAATAATGCAAGGACTTTAAGTTAGCTCAAAAATTAAATTATTGAGGATGCATGAGTTTATTGTAGCAGCGCATTTAAAAGTCAAGTTTTCAAATATAATAAATAAAAGTTCATATAAATCCATTCATGTTATATATTTTAAATTGTAAAATTCAAAGTTCTCAAAATAATTATTCTTATAAAAATTGGTGATGTTACTGCACTGTAGACACACAAAAGGAATAGATATGAATATCATCATTGGCTTATTCCTCATAACATAAACTTTTATTTTTATATGCAACTCATAGTTGGCCACGAATTAAGTAAATAGAGCTGTTTATGCTCTTTTTAATCGTATATATCATCCACATAGAGAAATTATAAGTTATATATAACGTATTTAGTTAGTAAAATGTTGAAAATCGCTTAAGAAAGTTAAAAACATCTCCAGTTACAGAAATCATTCATTTCAATATGATGCAACAAGTTTGATAAACGCCACTTTAGTAATGATTTGCTTTTATAAACGAGGGACTGAAGGAGATTGTCAACGTGTTGCATAACATGTTATTTTTTTGCTGCCGTCTGTAAAATACCTAATTACCCACCGATCTAGCGTGCGGGAAGCGTCACTTTACCACGTCAGTTTCGTTTCGCATGAATCCGAGCCACTTCGGATATTTCCGGGATTTTACCGCACGGATTTGGGAGCAATCGGATGTTTTCGGAGATATTTCCCACTCTTTGAATTTTGACGTTTGTCAATTTTGACGGTCATGTCAGTGAATGTATTCGTGTTGTTTTGCGAAAATGCACAGAAAAACTAACGCTCGTAGAAAAGTATAGTCTGCAACACGTTCGGTGAGTCAAATGACGTTTACCGCATAATATACTATTCTACGACAAATTGTGATTTATAATGCGACCGTCAGATCTAACAAATACCAAAAGGCCTCATTCATATTTAAAATATCCCAAAAATGATGTTCACCGAAGCCAATTTCTTACCATGATGCCCTCCTCATATTTGAGTGTATAATTGGTTATTATAGGGAGCAGAAAAACAAATTATGTTCATATCTGTCAACAAGTCAAGAACGCATTTTCATGTCGTTATTTGATGGTTCTGTATAAAGAAATACCGATTATTTGAATATACATATTTTACTACTTTAATAAAATTAGTTGGTCTAAACCTAATTATTAATGAAAAAATTCATAATCCCAATTAGATATTAATAGAAATCCGCAAATTGAAAATGAGTCCCAAAATCAACTTTATTCGTATTTTAGAATAGACAATAATATATATATATATATATATATATATATATATATATATATATATATATATATATATATATATATATATATATATATATATATATATATATATATATATATATATATATATATATATATATATATATATATATATATATATATATATAATACAGTTTTCACAGAACTGTTGTAAGGAATCGTACGGACTTACGGCAGTCTATTGATGGCATAGGAAATGTCATTTTTAACAACTAGAAGTTTACTAAAATGTTAAAAATAATCTAGAGAAAAATTAGATTATCTAAAAATATTTGAATTAGTATCCTCGAGCGTAAATTAATTTGCAGTAATTTTTTTGTCACTTTAGTTATACAATTTTGCGTTTGTATGTGTTTAAATCAACTGTAGAAGCAACTCTTTTTGCTGCTACTACAGAATATTTAAATGTGCATTCCTGGTGAACTAATTATGTTTTGCTGCCGATTCGATTTCTGTTTGGATGTACTGGGGATATCTGGCTAGCTGTCGCCATCGTTGCGACTACTCATAAATAGGTGGCGCTATGCAGAACTTTCATTTATTTGTTCTTCCAATAATTCCATACCTTTACAACTTTACACAGGAAACATCCTCCTTTGAATCTGTATGTGATTTCCCAACATAATTGTGGAAGAACGCTGAAAAATGCTACTATGAGATCAGCCATAGAAAGGTGCAAAATGAAGAACAACATCCGAGATAGCTTCTTTGGTCCGTAAGATCTAAAAAAATATATACATTGATATGGGACAGATTTTTATAAAAAAATATTAACACCTAACAACAAGCAATTCTACTAAGAACTATAAATTCCGGAATTATCTCATAAAACTTAATTAATTTAATTGATGTATTACGGAAATAACAAAAGGCATTATTTGGCAATTTAGTAAATTAACACAATAGATCTTTAAACGCACGTAAAACATTTCAAAATGTAAGTAATACGTAGAAAAATGAAGAAATCTCTCATAACATTGATCTGCCACTATTGTTAAAGTGTATGAAAAAGAAAAGAATACTCATTGCAAACCCTCTAAATAAAATTTGCCTCACAAAATCCATATTGGCCGCCTCATAGTTACCGTAATAGAGTTCGCTAGAATGTTTTGTCATACCTTGTTCTAGTCCATAATGCGAGCAAAACGAGGCCATTTCCTAAAACCGTCGCGACGAATATTACGACAAGCGTTGCGATCTCCGCCTGCGCTAGCTTTTCATCTCGGTCCATGTTCTAGTTTATGGCAAAAGTTATAAAACATGTATGTTTGGTTTGCGTGGCTCATACCCTCATCCGTGGACCCCTGCCGAAATGAGTTTACATCGCAAATAATAACCACGTCGGCAACTGTAAATAAAAAAAATATTCGGAAGCGTTGTAGGGTGGCGTTGTCAGTGATTTTATTTATTAAAGATCACTCGAGTTTTTTCTGTTATTGTATTTAAGGCCTCATGTTGTCTGTTTATCAATTTAATGAAAAAATTCCAGAATAGTTTTAGTTTTATTTTGTTTCTGAATGCTAGGGAGTAATAAAATGTAAATTTGTAATGCCAGGGACCATTAAACTTATCGGTCATATCGTAAAGATCAGAAAAATTGTTGTTGTTGAGTTCTTAAGTCCGACACACCGCGAATCGTTAATAAATTAGAGTCACATACAATAAACAGATATTTGGGGAATGGAAGAAGATAGCGTAAGTACTTACTAACTTTTATAAGGTCAAGCAATTAAAAATTTACCTTGAAATAAGAGTGATATTTAAATTGATAAATTGTATTAAATGTCATTAATAAAAAAAATCTTCTCCACTCCAATTTTAGTCATCACTTTCTTAGTACTACAGCCGTTAGAGTTCAGAGAAATAATAAGGGGCTCTACAGTGTTTGCTAGCATGTTATTAGCTTTCCATATTCCTTCTTCTATTTCGATAACATGCTAGATCCACTTACTACGTATTTTTTCTTGCAAGAGGGGTTAGGGTTAAGTATTGTAAGTAGGATGTTTTTAATTAAGAATATTCGTGTTACTGTGTCAGATAATACTCCTAAGTTATTATATTTTAGACTAGTTAAATCGATAATATCGTATGCCATTATATACTGGATATACTGGGAACATTCAAGCAAGTCCTGTTCGGTTTTTGCTCTTCAAAAAAAATTATTAAATGTAATAGCTAAAATATGCATATGGCAAAAATATTTGAAAACATTAAAATTAACGCCCTTTTATTGTCTGCCACTGTTAACCATACAATTACAAAAGCAAATTCACCTGTACGATAATGTGAAATTCACGGCACAAGGTCAAAAGGAGTTTTTAATGTTCCATACTGCAGATTAACAATTGCTCAACAGAATCCTACAGTCTTTGGAAGAATGTGTCTCATCAAATTAAATAAATTAACTGACAAATTCAAAGACATGAATTTAACGTGAATTTTTAAATTGACATTAAAAGAGTACCATTTACGACTGTTATTATTACGATAATGATGTTTTTTTCAATGATAAATTGTTTAATATTCTTAATGGGTTTTATGCCATGTTTGTATGAAGTAATATAAAATTTTTTGGTACTTTGTTTTTTGTTGTTTTTGTTTTTGGTATATAGATGCCTGACGATCCCATAACTGTACATAATTAAGTGCAATTAACGTTAAAAAAATATGTAAATGTCATTTTTTAAAATATAATATACTATTTTATTTTTAATATTAAAATTTTGCTTATTTCCAAACAAAATTCTGATCAAAATCTCTGATGAAGACATGCGTTATCGATTAAAGAGGCAGTTGTAGCTATCGTTACACCCACTCATATAGCTACTAGAGATACAGCTCTGCTTACGATGATAAAACAGGAACTTATGAAGCAATTATGAAAAACTTTTAAAACCTCATTTTTAACCAATGACAGCGTTTTCTTAAAATATGTCCAGATCCTATTAAATATTCAGGAGTCAAGTGTGTGGGTATCTCTCTTCAGAAACAAAATTTAGCAAAGTGGAGGTTAGTGGTGTAGAGGCATGCGCGGAAGATCATTGCCATCTCTACGAAAATATCATAACTATCCACGGCGTATAAATTTTTAGAGTAGTTGAGCCGCTATTTTATTGCGGGCTCCACTTGTTGGCTTCTTTTAATGAGTTCTCTATGGTTCGTTCCCTTGGAAATTTTATACCGACGGATTTTAAGTAGATATTTTGTGCTTGTAGAATGGAAAGTTAAATTTTATGCACAATCGACATTGTATTAGTTTAATGATATAATAAAACACCACTTTTACTTTTAAGTGCTTATAGCATTAGTCTGCTTGAAGTATTCCGGCGTTTTAGAAAATGAAAACTTTTTACCTATTCTTAAGCGTGTTTGGCGATAACTACAGATGCCCATACTTACATGAAGCCCACGCTCGGCTGGCACAAACAAAAGTTCATAGGTGCTGAACAGTTTAATTTCTAAGGTGCGAAGTGTTAAATATTAAAAAAACGGCTTTTGTAAAGCAGGGTGAAGTGCAAAAACCCTTACGTCGTATGCTTACAATGAGGTAAATGATGGTCAACATTTTCAACATTTTTTTTGCGTTAATTTTTTAAAATTAAGTTTATGAAAAGCAGTATCAATTTTCATTATTTTTATTTAAAAAAAAATTTGGTGTTTAAGTACAATTGCAAAAAGGCGAGTGATGTACATCTCTTTGACAATTCGCTAAAATTAACCTTTTAACATTATATATGATTTTGCTAAATGTCAACACAATCGGGCAAAAAAATTATGATATTGCAAAATAAGTCTGGTGTCTTGAATATTTATCACCCTCTCATCTTAGAAACTAAAACGTGGCCGGACCTACGTTACCTTTTTTTCTTTTTTTTCTGGATGACCAATCAATCTCCAGTGTTGTTGCGTGGTTTTTAAAATACATTGAATATGAGAAAATATGAATTAAAGCAGGGTATTAATTAATTAACTAATTTTACCAACTTTCTCTATCAACATATACAACATATACATTTATTATTTATGGTTTATTCACAATAGATGGTATAAATTAATTCTCTAAGCAGTGATTGCAGCAGTACTGGTTTAGGGAATACATCATAATAATCAATCAAATATATATTTGCATTACACATATGACAATAGCCGACACCGGTACGTTCAAGGAACGAATTAGAACATCGCTGCAGGAGGGTAAAAATGGGTCTTTCGCATACTTCAACCTACTTCAACAGCAAATTTTGTTCTAGGGCTTAGACCTAACCCACTACAAGATCCAATTGATTCAGGAGGTGAAAGTTCTCGATCATGGAATAATGCTATATTCCCGCTGACTGGGCTTCAAGCCGTTTGGAAAAGAGAATTAATTTTGGCCAAAAATTATATTTGATGACGAGTCGCATTTTTGGAGGAATGGCTGTCTTAAAAGGGGAAATTACTTCATATGAGATGACACTAACCTACGGGGGTTCACCAGTTGACAATGCACCCCCTAAAATTTACTGTTTGCTCTGGACTTTTCGAAAACGACGTTGTTGAAACGTCTACCATCAACGACGAGTATTGCAGCACAATGACATAGGCAAAATTGAACCATACGGACCTGGGCGACATGTAGTTCTAAAAAAAAATGTCCACTCTTGCCACAGAACAGAACGCCATAATCGACAGTTTGCATGATCTGAGAGTCATCTTTTGGTGATGTGCGCTGTTCACAAAAGACATTAAATTCGATCCGGCTAGACTTTTTTGTGACGTTTCTTGAAGTCGAATTTGCCACCGTAAAAGCTAAGGTGGGCATCTGAACTAAGCCATATTGCACAGTTAATAATTTTTCAAATAAAAGAAGAATTTATATCATATCTCATAAATAGATTGTTTTGTTACATTTCTATTTTCTATTTAATACTTCGTTCATTCATTTATTGAGTTTTTTGAAACAAAGCTCTTTGTATGGAGTATCTGTATAAATCTATCTTTATTTTAAAGAGTTTTTAGAATTTTATTTTATAACGTTTGCATATAATTGAATGAGACTCGATAAACCTATCTTAAATACTGTTTAAATATAATCTTTGCCACCTTCTGCAATTTAATAAAAAATATTTTTTTTGCTGGAGTGCCAAATATTTACTTATCTATGTCGTTTTTAATTTGTTACAGTAGAGCGCATTGATCGAATAAATAGTGGCTTCACACTTCTAAATTCTTCTAGTTCCAATTGACGAGGTGGGTCAGTTTCATTTCTTCTGTTTCATACTCTCAAGTCTTCCTTAATTGCCTCCAATCATTTTGATCTGGGTCTTCTCCTTCTTCTTCTTACTCCTGCGTTCCACTCTAATATTGAATTTAAGCTCTTTTGCTCTTCACTTTATTCGTACTTCCTTTATCCAACTTGCTGTCATTCAGCTCTGTCAGTCATTGATTCTTATCCTGCGATTATTTTCGTTTACTTTCACAAGCTGTAATGAGATTCCTTTCCACCACCTTAATTTCTTCGTTATTGTAATAGTTACCGTTCCATACACAGTTGGTGTTATTGTAGTTTTGTAAATATTAATCTCTCAGTTTTTTTGATAAAATCTTATTAGCAGGTTCTTAATGACATAAAAAGACTATGTTTGGCTGATGCTATTTTTCTTCAATTTCAGTATCTCTTTCTGGTATACTTACTCTAAAGTATATAAATGTCTTTACTGCTTCAAAGATGTTACTTCCTATTTTAATGCAACTATTATCAGTTCTTCCTCCACAGATCATTGTTTTCGTTTTATATTCATTCAGTTGCAGAATTTCCTTTAAGACCATGTTCGATCTCTCTAATTCTCTAATTGGTATTTAGTAATTAGTACGATAGGGTGTGCATACGCTATCATTCCCTCTTTTTCTTATTGTTGTCTTATCAATGTTTCTTAGTGTATGCTGCAAAGCCGGGTTAAATAACGTTACTGACAATGTATCAATATATGTCTGAGACCTTCATTTATATCAAATTCCTCGGTTTTTCTGGCTTTGATACTAATTTCTGTTCATTTCATAATCATGGTAATCAGTATTTCTAATTTTGGAGTCATTCCCAACTCATTTGGTGTTTCTATGAGTCGTTTTCTTTTAATCGAGTCACATGCCTGCCGAAAATCTATGCAGAGCATCTCAATAACGATTTTGTGTTCGTATGTTTTTTCGACCGCTGCCAATACCACACTGGTGTGCTGTATTTAGAAGTGTTATTTCTCTGTAATTTTGATAATGTAGTTAGTAGTAAGTAGTAGTCGAATACTTTCTCAAATTTACAAAGAGGCCGTATGAATCAAGGCTTTACATGATCTGAGTGAATTGTTACCCTTT